TTAATTTTTATTATTTTATGACATACTTTGGATTTTTGTGAATAGTTTAAAAGGAATTTATTGGTAATTAAAAAGTTTAAATATTTTAAATTTTATCACTTCACAGCGCTATACAGGAGTATATTGTATTAGAATACAATATTTTTTATATCTAATAACACTGTGTGATAAGAAAAATGGGAGAAGAAAATAAAAACAAGTTTTGCAGAATTTGACGCTGAGTTCGAATCCGTTTTCCAAATTTTCCCTACACGTCAAGTTTTAAAAATATTACCGTATAAAGACAACTTTTCGAAATCTCAAAAAAATGGCAAAATTTAGGTCTTTATACAGATATATTTTAAAAAGTATTGAAAAAAATCACTGAAAATTGGTGATAATGTTAAACTTATATTTCTTTATAATTTACCAATTTTTATAATTTTTTATCGATTGGTTTTTGAGAAAAATGGTAAAGAATTTTGTTTTGGGGTAACTAAGTTTTCAGTTTAAATTACTATCAAAATTATTAACTTTAGAAGATAAATTTTATATAGTTTTGCTTCAAATATGCTCAAGATTATATATTAATTCTAATTATGTTTCAAAAGTACTCTATGCCATGAAAATTCAACCAAAATCTATAAATTAAAAAAGTCGGTACAGATATTTTCGAACTTTTTAATTTGTAACACTTTTATTGAATTTTCTCTGCATAAAGCATTTTTAAAGCAAAATTAAGGTAATATTTATCTTTTTTAGTTGTATTTAATAATATTTTATGCATTTATGATCAATTTATACCAGAATCAGATATCTGTACCCACTTTTTTAATTTGTACACTTTTTGAATTGAGCATTTTTAAAGCAAAATTCATTTAAAATGCAATAATTGGTAGTTTTTTCATATTTTTTTTATTAATATTTATCTTTTTTAGTTTTTTAATCAATTTATATCAAAATATATGATTTTCCAATGGAGTACCTTGCCAAATAACGAGTAGGAAGAAAGGAGAAGAATTATTTTTTTTCGCGCTTAATTTTTCATGAACATTTAATTTCTTTCATTAATTTTTTTTTAAGAACGAAAGCCACAATAAATAAATATATTAAATGTAAGCTATATTAAAAAAGATTTTATAAATAAAGGTAAATTTAAAAAATATAGGTTGTTAAAAAATTGAGTAAGGATTTTATAAAAAAAAATGTATAATAATAATAAGGAAGGTTTGCTGCAAAAATTAAGATATTTTTTAGTTGTAGGGATCATTAGAACCGAAGTTATAAACCTTCAAAAAGTGCTAAAAATGACCTTTTTGGCCACTTTAACCTAAAATAAATAAAAAATCTGACGTGCTAGAAAAAAACTGACAGCAGATTTAGAATATGCATAAAAAACTGTCTTAAAACATGTTTATTTTATTTTCTCCCAAAAAATCAAGTCGAAATTTGTCACACAATGTAATTTTATGACAAATATCATTTATATCTTACCTATTTCCTTATGTTCTTTAACTTAAGGCAAAAGAGCATCAAAAGGCTCAATAATTGTTAAATCTAATGCCATTTGTTTTATAAAATATAGTGAATGATTTTTACCGTTGGAATTTGACTCTTCTGACTTACAAGTAAATACACCTCTGCTACCAATAATATATAAAATTTGGACAATGGAAATGTTTTTTCTTATATCTTACCCATGTCGGGTATATTATTTGATTGAACAAGTTGTACTATACTAACATGTTCAATGCTAAATCTAAACAATATTATTTAAGAACTATAAACTTTGGTAAATATATCGCTACTATTACTATTTGAATCTTCTTTTTCTTTAATATAAATATTTAGATTTTTATATCTAACATTTCATGTAGAAAAAATTTAATGAAACTATTTTTATAGCTTATCTAATTCTGTAAGCTCGGTAAGGAGGAGTGAATTGCCAGGAATATGATCAATAATGGCTAAATCTAATTTATTTTGTTCATCATTGCTATCATCGAGTCCTCCATATCAGACGAATCGGCATATTTCTCTTTTATAGAATATAAAATTAGACAAATAATTAGTGGAAACACAATGTATTATATTACCAATTTCAGTTATCGAATAAGTACTCGGAATCGGAAGATGCTTTGTCTGACAACTGATAAGATGTATCACCCAAATATCTGATATTATTCAATTTATGTATTAGAATTTTCTTTAATACCATTATTAGATGTTGAGGATTCGTTAGAATCAAAAAAATTATAAATTTAAAAAAAAAATAAGAATGAATGACATTATTTTTTACTATTGGCCCCCCTTGTGTTGGATAATCCTATATGAATAGGAGACAAAAAATAAGTAATCAAAATATAAAAAACAATACCATTATCAGAACATGATATTAAATCCATTTCATTTGAACTAGATATTTTTTATTGGTTATCATTACGAGCATAAAATAACTGGTAAGGTATGCTCTTACTGATTCTACCATAATTAATTTATTCTCAAATAATTGGACAAAATAACTTTATTAGGTGGTCACGGTTATTACCTATCCATATGACAGATAAAACAATATCTGTAAATTTAGAAGAGAAAATATTAAAAATAAAATATGGGTAGGAACGTTTGCTGCAGGAATTTCAACACCATTTATTGCCTCTATTCTTTTATGTTGCCAACAAAGATATATCAATCCTAGGTAATTTAAGTTATTTTTATAATAACCACATATACTCCTCAAATTATTTAAACTGCTAAAAATATTTAGGAGCATCCCGGAATGTCATAAACTATGGGAAAACATTGTTATGCAATTGCAAAATGAGTTTGCAATAAATAATTTTTTATAATTCGGATTTTTTAAAAATATATATTCATATGAAAATGTTTATGATTTTATTTTAAAATTTACAAAAACAGAAAATTATATATTTCTAAAAAATGAAATTTTCTGGTGACAGCCAGACAGTAAAAAAAGGAATAAAAAAAAATATAGTTTAAAAGTTTAAAAAAAATATACATGGGGATTCGGAATTTTTTTTAAATATATTTTTTAAATATATCTTTTAAAAATATTTTAAATAAAAAGATTTCGAATAAAACGTGGGGATTCAAGATCTCGAAACCCCACGTTGGGATTCCGAATCCCACATGATCCATATCCCAATACGGCACTCAATAGTAAAATAAAGAAAGATCATATATTTTTTTTTTAATATAAAATGAATAGATATTTATAAAAAATCAGTACATATTTTTTTCATTATTTTAAATTTCATGTTATTAATTTAATTTTTATTTTTTGTTACATATTCCTTAAAATCTCTACAAATATAATTAGAATAATGTTTGATCATCAATTCCCCTTATAAAGATAACCGATTTACCATCTTTCCTCCAGAAATTTTTCATTAAACTAAATATGCGCTATATCTTAGCGTATGAATGTGGTAACGAGAATATAACATCGCATTTTTTTCAAAATTTGGCTTAATTTACTTTGAAAAAAGTATATATTTGTTTCATGAGTCAAATTCAATATATTATTATTTTGTTCAATAAATTTATTTGTTAAAGTATTAATTCAACTTCCACGAAATTGAATTTATTATCAAACGTCATATTACTTGTTTTCCTATTTATTATTTATAAATTCATATTTTTATTCTAAATACAAAAGTTATTGATAACTTGAGCTTTTAAAGTTGTAACTAATTTATTAATTAATGAAAACATCTCTACTGCAATTTAATTTTCGGATTGCAATTTTTAATCACTATGTTTAAGATCATCTTTATTAATAACTCTTCCTAAATAAGTCTCGACCAATACATTTTCAAAAAATAACTTTAATATTGAATTGTGATTTATTTGGGATAAAGAATGAGATTTAACAGCTAAATAATTTTTATAAAATCTTTCGAAAGCCGGTATTAATAATAGCCATCTTGTTGGAACAATTCATAAAAGTTCGTACCATTTAATATCTTGAGAATTCTTAATTTTTTAAAACAAATACCCTGTTTGTGGATTTTCTGAATTCGGTATAACAATTCAAACCAATTATTTCTATTAATAATGAAGCATGCATACCCCTTTCTTCCTACTATGGGAATTGTATGGCACAGGCATCCAACGGGAAAAATATTTTAATTCAAAACTAATAATTCAGTCATTACACTTTGCCTTTTCCCGAAATTCTCACTTGCGTTATTGGCACAAAATGTTGTTACATTTGATAGTGAAAGGTTACAATTTTCAAGGCTCCACACAACCATAGACTCAATATCCTTCGATTTCTCCCGATGAAAATTTTTTAGAAGTTTTCTTGAAACACCTTTTTCTTTTTTTAAGCTATTTTTGATTCAGGAAAGATTATAGGCAATAAGTTTATAGCATAATCTGTTGATATAATAAACGAATGTTTTATTGTGTGATAGATGAATGTCGTTTCGGCTATTGCAGTATTATCATCACATAAATTATTGTTTTGAAGTATGGTTGGATATTATTTGATGATCCCTAATTTTTAAATTGGAAATATTTTTTGCCTTATTGAATGTTTTTTTTACACCATGAACTCCTCCATGGTTGAAATTAAATTTTGTTTTGCATATTATACATTGCATTCAAGTTACTTTCTTTATCTTCTCTGACCCACGAATAAATGGAATTTGCTATTACTTATTTTTTTGGATGTTGATAAACTTGTCTTTAAACTGTAATTTATATATAATTTAAAATAACGGAATTAAATTGGAAAAGAAATGAAATATATTTAGAAAACTTTATTTAATTAATCAAAAATTATTATTAGACTATAAAAAACTCTTAAAATTTAAAAAAATAAATGTACTTCTAAAATATCATTATATATAGATTGATTTTCTAAAAATTATATAATATACTTCACATTTACATAAGACTCATTTTCATCAACAGAATCAAAGGAAGTATTTTTAAAAATATGTTTAGAACATTAATTTTGAATTCTTTTATATTTTTTAACTCAAAATATTTAGCCACAATCGATTACGAACTTGAAACTAAGCACGAGAAAGAAATGGCAAGAGTAGAAGCTCAAGCCCGGGCAAAAGCCAAGGCCGAAAGGGAAAATAGAGATTTATTTCTGGAGCGCCTTAGGGTTCAAGCTCAAGAACAAAGGGTTACCACACTAGAATCTATTAAGTGAGCCATAACTCAGCACTTCTTACAATTTTAAATGTACATTTTTAATTTAAAAAAGTAGTTTGAATAAATTTTAAACATTTTTAAAATTATATTGTATGATAATTTGTTTAAAAAAAAGATCTGTGACGAGTATACTAGGTTCCGGATTCAATTCTTTTATATCGGACTGGAATAAAATCATAGCTGCTGTATAAAGCAAGAATTTATTTTTATATTTTATGTGTTTATATAAAACGGAATATTATATTCCTTGAAAAGAAATGCCCATATTTTCTGAAAATGATTGCTTTTGATTCTCATATTTGCTTAACAGATTTTGAAATCTAATCTGATATATTCGGGCATTCGTTATTTCATTTTTTTGTTTAAATATAAAAATTATAATTTTATTTATCCGAAATAATTCAGAATAACAATGGTGTTAAATATCGCTACCACTATTTTACAAAAAATAGTAGCGCGTTATTTATCGCTGCCTCTATTATTTCAAAAGTAGGTATTCCCCGTATCTACCTACCAACTGTACATTCCTACCAGACAATGTATCTGTATCTAGATCCATTTTTTGTTAATGTATCTGTATCTAGATCCATTTATATACAAGTATCTATATCGAAATCCATTTTTAGACTATGTATCTATATCTAGTTCTTTTTGAAAAGTATCTTTTAACAACTCTGATAAATATGGCTTACAAGTATTACAAAACCAATATTTTTTTGGTTCCATGTCACATCACTGAAAATTTTATTGCGAATGGATGTTGTTAATCAGCTTAGCCGAGTCGGCTCGAACAGAGCTGACCCAAAATATGGGTCCTTTTTTTCGACTCAGACTTGAAGTTTAGGTCGTTTTTTTTCAACTCAGACATGAAGTTTGGTTGTTTTTTTCGACTCAGACTAGAAGTTTGGTTGTTTTTTTCGGCTCAGACTTGAAGTTTATTTTTTTAAGGCCAATGTGTAAAAATATATTTTGCAAACATGTTAAATTAAAATTTCAGTGAAGATGTACCATAGAAAAGTGACAATTGTCATAATCGTCATTTTTCAATTTTTTTTAGACAAATGGGTAGCAAACATGTTAAAATAAAATTTCATTGAAGATGTACCATAGGAAAGTTACAATTATCATAATCGTCATTTTTGAACTTTTTTGAATTTCTTTAAGACAAATTGGTAAAAATATATTTTGTAAACATGTTAAATTAAAATTGCAACGAAGATGTACCATAGAAAAGTGACAATTGTCATAATCGTCATTTTTGAACTTTTTAGAATTTTTTTAAGGCAAATAGGTAAAAATATGTTTTGTAAACATGTTAAATCATAATTATAAAATTTAATTAAAGATGTACCATAGGAAAGTGACAAATGTTATAATCGTCATTTTTGAACTTTTTTAAAACCAATGTGCAAAAATATATTTTGTAAACATGTTAAATTAAAATTTCAGTGAAGCTGTACCATAGGAAAGTGACAATTGTCTAATCGTCATTTTTGAATTTTCTCTAGACAAATGGGTAAAATATATTTTGCAAATATGTTAAATTAAAATTGCATGAAGATGTACCATAGGAAAATGACAATTGTCATAATCGTCATTTTTGAACTTTTTAGAATTTTTTTAAGGCAAATGGGTAAAAATATGTTTTGTAAACATGTTAAATCATAATTATAAAATTTAATTGAAGATGTACCATAGGAAAGTGACAATTGTCATAATCGTCATTTTTGAACTTTTTTCAATTTAATTGAAGCAGATAGATAAAAATATATACTGTAAACATGTTAAATCAATTTTTCAGTGATGAAAAACCTTGAAAAAATTAAAATAGCCATGTTGATAATTTTTATGGAATATTTTGAAGAAAATGGTTAAAATATAAATTATAATATAAACTAGTTTATTAAAATTTCAATAAAAGCCATAGAAATCATAATTATTTTTAAACTCTATTTAATCTAATAGTAAAAATCTTAATTGTAAAACATGTTATATTAATATTTTAGTAAAGAAACCGAGAAAAAGATTCATGGTGGCAAACTATCTGTATCTCATATAAATACTTATTTATTTTTGGATTTTATTTAAAATTAGTATTTCAAAGCCTGTTTTTATAAAAGTTTCCGCTATTTTTTCAATAAAGTAGCGTCTTATTAACTACTTTTTACAATATTTAGAAATTTTTTTTAAATATCTCTATTTCCACAAATAAAATAAATATGATTAAAATTTTAAATATATATTTTTTTTATTGTATCTTAATAATAATATAGTGTTATCCCCAACTTTAGAGCATCGATCAGAAAGTATAATCCAAATAAATAAACTTTCTTATTTAATTATAATAAAATTTTTATAGAAAAATCATTAAAAATATTAATTTAAATTTTTTTAGATTTATAATATAGCGGCTAGAGTATTTTCAGTAGTATATTTTTTTCTAAAAGAATCTTCTAGCTAAGGTATCCTGGTGATGGTTTGTATTATTTAGCTTTATCATTAGCCTACTAAAATGTCCTTCGATTCACTCTAATTAATATATGGTCATTTAGCTTGAAACTTGGGTGAACAAACATCCACATAAAAATTTTTAAAATAGATGATAAAATTATATTTAATGTATTTTTTATTTAAAATATAATTCTTAAATATCTTATGGTCAGAGACTGGGTCATAAAATTAAATATCACATAAACTCATCTATGTTTGATTCGTATTTTATTTTAAAGATTAAGTATAGGACTACACATTAATGTTATAATTAAAATATTTCCTCGTTGAAGCTACTAGTTATGATAACCTACCTGCACATCTCACAATGAAATACCTTATGATTTTTTTATCTAGACTAAAATTTATGCGATATCAGGAAGGTATTACATATCATTGTAACAGGGAAATAACTTTGTATATATTATCTATACCAAATGTATCTTTAATATATATCTCTATGGTTGATATTTTAAATTATTTTAGTAACTAGATTATGTAGATTCTTATTATTAATATAAATGATTAAGATTTTAGAATTATTTATAAATATATCTTAATAATTTGTATGTGTATTGTAAAATAGCTCGTTTTAAGCCTATTTTTAGAAACCGTCAGGTCAATAATTTAGACAGAAAAATAATGACTAAACCTCAGATTACGATAAGTGATGTCTAGACCCATCTATGAGAAAAATGGCTCTCGTAATATTCTTCTCAATAAAATAGTAAATTAACCGCATCCCAGTATCAATATTTTTTTTGATATTAATATCTTCCGTTTTTTACTTTTCTTTTAATAATAACATAACTTCCAATTCCCCTCTCAAACGACCTAGAGCCGTTTTACGACTTAAAAGTCGACTCGATTCAGGACTAAGCCGATAACACTACATCTATGAAAAAAATGGTTCGCCTAAATTACTAAATTATATAAATAAAATTTTTTATTTTATATTTAAAAAAAAGCATCGGCAAAAATTATATAAAATATATTGTATTATTAGTTTAAAAATTTTTGAGGGGTATGGGGGGCATTAATTATAAAAGAATAACTCGTTTTCAAGTGAAGAATATCTGGCAACCCTGTATGGAAGTGACGGATATATAATATTAGAAAAGGATTTTTATTTTATTTCGAGTGGTGCCAGCTAGACGGCAAATTTGTTGAGATTTTTTTCTTTTTCTTCATTGTTGGGCCATTCCATGACAAATCAACCACAATTCGGCCGAGTACCTTGGATTTTTTTAAAATTTGGTAATCAAAGAAAGGTTAGTATAGTTAAGAAATAGCCAAAATTTTAGCCTCGTATCATTTATATTTTTGGAGATATTAGGGTTCAAAGTGGCAAAAATGACGTATTTTTACCATTACCTGCCATCATTCAATTAAGCATATCTTAAAAACTACATAATTGTAAATAACAAATTTAATATCAAAATTACGTACAAAGATTCTACTTTTAGATAAAAAAAAATTTTAATTTTTTTTGCAATTTCCGGTCATTTTATTTAATATATAAGGACTAAAAACAATTTTTTGAAAATAATACGACCTTCAATTTTTTTAAAAAATTTAGAAGACATTATTAAACTCTTCCTTTATATTTATAAAAAAAAATTAATCTGTGGCGGCCATCTTCATTCTCAAAATCAATAAAAATGTTTAGAAAAGTGAATAAATATTGTTCCGAAAGGGGGGGGGGTCTTTGTATAAAATTATATATTAATCAGTTTTTAATGGTTATTCTTGGACTATTTGATAGAATTTAAAGGATTATTCATCTTGTAAGTGAAAATAACAATAAATGGGGCTTTCATTCAATTATAGAAATTGTCTATCGATAAAAGAAATTCAATTTATTACTTTATTTATAATTTATTATAAAATTTTTTGCGCATATAACATATATTTAATGAATATTAATAAAATATGTTCAATTAACGAGTTCTTGAATATATGAATCAGAATCTTGTGAATTTCATATATGGCGCCCTAAATATTAAAAAAATTGATATAATTTAAATTTAAAAATCTAATAAACAACTCACTTTTAAAAGATTCTAATTTTTCGGTAGCGCATTTACTTTCTTGTGACAACAATGTATAACTACGGCCAGTAGCAGTTAACAGTGAAACTAATGTTAAGATATGACATTTGGGCATGTAAAGAGTGTCGTCTATACTTGGAAATGTAAAGGAATTAGAAGGTACGGATGGGTTAAAAACTTTATATATATTTCTTCCTGTTTTAATTTTTCACTAAAACAAAGCTAACCACCAATTAGAATCATAAGGATACGTTAGGTATCCTGATATTTCTTCAATAATTATACTTTCATCATTATATGATAACTATTAGTACTTTCTATTGAATTGGAATACATTTTACTTTTAAATTGATGTAGATCTGTTGGAATCAAGGTGTGTATTTTGTGTGTTTTAGGTATATATCTAGTTTTTGAAAATCTTTCCCTGAGTAATAGATCTTCGTAATCATAATTTATTTTGGTCACTATTCAAAATATATGACATTAATATTTTCTTTATTAAACTCGTACAATTCATATGATGTGGTTATTTACTTTGAAGGCCTTGTAAACTAGCTCTAGCTCTAATCTTATAACAGTGCTACCAATCCCATTACAAACACTTTTCCCGTGTGCTATAGCAGAAAAATGCCATTTTGCCTGTATCACGAAATCCATCTCATGATGGCAAATATTAATAAAATTTTTACGATTTTTATCATAGGAAAAATAAAAATTTTTATTTGACCTACAAATTTTATTAATTAAAAAATTTACCAATGTTTTTTTGAAATTATGTACTGCTATTGTATTGTGTTGCAAAGATTCGGATATCATTACATAATTTAGGCAACAAATATTGGCAAAATTATCTTTATAATATATAACAAAAGGGTGAGCAGTGGATTGAGCCCTATTCCAATGATAATTTTGTACTTCATCCTGAAGTATAAAGCTATAATTTTCTTAAAAATCACATAAAATTAAATATTGGTCTTCGTCTAAGTTCAATTTTAGATTGTTTTGATACAACGATTGTTGCGTTGAAATAAAAAAATGGAGTAATAAAGATTCCATTTTTTCAAAAAAGGCATTGATAAATTCACCTACTGGTTTGGTTATTGTTTCAAGAGTGGTTCTATCTACGGATAGCCATTGTTTGTATGTTATAAATTCGATGTCCTTAGAACGAAACAATATTTCTATTTGATCGCGTAAATGTGTTGACCCTGGACAATTATCACATTTGCCCATATAAACTGGATGGTTGAGGCGAATTACAAACTATTAAGTGTAAAATATGTTTGTATGTTTTAAAGGGCAATATATCATTGGTTAAATTGGGTAAATTTGATCCAATGATCATTAATTTAAAATTTTGGTGGTAGCTGCAATCACATAGTACCACTACCTCCAACGAGTATACAATTTTTAAGCGAATGCTTGCAAATTTCGAATAACCAATTTTAACATCAGGCCTCATTTCTTTAAAAAATATATGAATTTCTTATTCTTTTTTCCGTCTTTGGTAAAAATCGAAACACAATCTTTCTTGCCTGGCATGATTCTGCTTATTTCGTCCATACAATAAAATTCTTGTACAATTTTAGCTGTATATTCATCTATAGTTTTTCCAGGCTTGTATTAGGTTGATAGAAATCAAAATGCCAATAAATTAATTAAAAAATGAATTAATATAGTGAGCATGTATTATTGAATGATTAATCAATTTTAAAATTTTTTATTTTATTGATTGAAACACTTATTTATTGTTATTCTAATTTAGTAAGGCTATGCCGATTTTAGAAAATCCGATCCAATATTTATATTGTTTTGGGTTATTTTATGATAATACTTTTATTTTGTAAATAATTTCATAATAATAATAAATGAATATTTGTAATATTTTAAAAATATCAAATTATTTTAAAAAATTGAGTAGAGAAAATTTTGATATTATTTTTTGGCTTCTATGAAATGCACAAGATTCTGATTCATATATTCAAGAACTATAAACTTGGTTAAATATATTTTATTAATATTCATTAAATATATGCTATATGGGCAAAATTTTTATAATAAATTATAAATAAAGTAATAAATTGAATTTCTTTTATCGTTATACAATTTCTATAATTGAACGAAAGCCCCATTTATTGTTATTTTCACTTACACGATGAATAATCCTTTAAATTATATCAAATAGTCCAAGAAAAACCATTAAAATCTGCAGAGTTGTTAAAGGATATCTAGATATTTTTTTAGACGATGTGTCTGTATCTAGATCCATTTTAAAAGTATCTTTTAACAACTCTGAAAAACTGATTAATATATAATTTTATACAAAGACGCCCCCTTTCGGGAAAACATTTATACACTTTTCTAAACATTTTTATCGATTTTAAGAATGAAAATGGCCTCGTCCTAGACCATTTTTTTATATATATATAAAGGAAGAGTTTAGTCTACTAAATTTTTTAAAAAAATTAAAGGTCGTATTATTTCTAAAAAATTGTTTTTAGTCCTTGCATATTTAACATAATGCCCGGAAATTGGAAAAAAAATAAAAAAAATTTATTTGTCTAAAAGTAGAATCTTTGTACGTAATTTTGATATTAAATTTGTTATTTACAATTATGATTTTTAAGATATGCTTTGAATGAAGGCAGATAATGGATACGTCGTTTTTGTCAGAACCCTAATATTTCCAATAATATAAATGTTACGAGGCTAAAATTTTGGCTATTTCTTAACTACACTAACCTTTTTTTGCTTACCAATTTTTAAAAAATTAAAGGGGGTCGGCCGAATCGTGGTTGATTTGTCAAGGAACCCAGTATTTGTTTTAATAGATTAGTGAATTTTTGATTGTAATCATTATATATAGGATTTAAAATGATATGAATCCATAATTGTAACAAAATCAAGTATATTTGAAGGTTAATCTAGAAATAAAATTAATGAATGATTATATCAAAATTTAATTAGTTATATAGTCCATAATAATATTTTAGAGTTCCATATGATTTATAAATAGAACTGATAGCTAATTGAATGACTGCTGAGTTTGGTAAGGTGATTACTATTAAACCGATTACGCTATAATCATAATTATTGGACAAATATAGAACACTATTGGCTAAATTTTATTGACTTTTTTTGAGGATTATTATAATAGATGATATAATTACTAGATAAAATATTATATTTCCATTAGTATAATATCAGCAATAGTATATATAAAATGTTTTAATGGGCTTGGGGTGGGTTCGCGAATTTTTTTTTGTTTATTGCAGCCTTGGGCTTGGCTTATAATTTTTTATAAATATTAAATGCGGGCTGGGCCTGAGCTTACAAATTTTTATTATAGTTTACCAGGCTTGGTCATAATTAAGGTCCATAGGCTTCTAAATCAGATACAATATATTCAATATTTTGTGTATAATGTGATATATATTTATTTATTACTGGCTCTGTTTGTCAAAAATATATCTTTCTATTTTTGCTCCAGTAAACGATTACTCTAAGAGTAGAGCCTCTTTTTCAAATCGATGGATGATGCAATGATTATAAAGATAATTGAGTTTTGTTGGGTAATAGAAAAAAACAAAAATGGTTGGGACAGCCTTTTTGTAAACATGATAACATGCAATTAGTTATTGAAATTTAGAATTTAGGAATTTTTGTAATTTTTTTTACAAATACAATATAAATATACAATAATTATCAACATTTTGCAGACCAACCATCAGCACTCCCTTTAATTTTATAAATACCATATAATATCCATTTTTTTTATTAATAAAATTATGATTTTAAAATTATCGCAGCCTAATTAGAATCGCGGCGAATTGTCGTGCACCATTTTGATAGGATAACGGACCCAATGACACAAATTTTGTCTTTGATTATAAATTTATTCAGTATGGGAGAAAAGTATTTTGTCTTAAATAAATTTTTATTTAATGGTAAGTATATAGTTGTTGAAAACGAAAGGTGATAATGTCGATTAATGATCTACATCGGGCCTAATTTTTAAAACTCGCTAAGGCCCAAAATTATTTTTAAAAAATTTTACCGGCATGGCCCACTCAAATTTATTTAAATGTGGAAAAAAAAATTTTTTAATTGTAAAAAAAGATTCTACAAATCAAAAATATTGACGCCTTGTTTCTTGCAAGAATTTTATAATATATCAATTTATTCCATAAAATTGAATGATATTATATTTAAATTTAAGCCCGGCCCGACTCGAATTTTTAAAAAAATATTAAGCCCAACCTCCTGAAATTATTTTTAAAATTAGGCCACGCCTGGTTGGGTCGGGTCGATAATTGAAGCTCTCTAATATCAATGGCTTTATTTAATTAATTAAAGAATTTCAGTTTCGTAGAAACTATTAATTACAATGTTCCTGTTTAATGACTTGCAAGCATTTATTATACCAATATTGATAAATATATTATCTGAAGACAGGTTCTCTTGGGCGATTCAAGCTGCATGGCTTGTCGCATCCTTCTAAAATCCTAATTGGTTATATCTGATAATAAATCTTTTATTCTTTGTAAATTATTTTTTAGATATTCCTTCTCAGGAATAACGAATGGCCAAAAATGATAATATCGGGTTGTAAAAAATATTGGGTTTTCTAATATTTAATATTGGCACAGTCATAGTCTTGATAATAAATATTTTATTCTTTGTAAAATATTTTTTAGATAATCCTTTTCAGGAATAACGAATTGTAAAAAATGATAATATCGGATTTGTAAAAAATATTGGGTTTTCTAATATTTAATAATGGCACAATCATAGACTTGATAAGTTACCGGTGTTCTTAGTTAATTGATGCTCGAAATTAATGTCAACTTTGTGAGCACTGAGTAGGTCAGCATCTTCGAGCCATAAGAGTTAAAATAATAATTATTATATAAATTCTAAAATGAAACTATTTATATACGTTTCACAACCTAATTTTACAGGCCGGTGGTATCACTCTATTAGCTTTAGGAGCATATTCGGCTAAACATTCTACGCAGGTGATGGGCAAATATATAGGAGATAGATTGGGTAAACCCTCACTTGTCAGAGATACCTCAAGGTTGGCCGTCACTGAAATATTTAAGCATCCCATCAAAGTTTCACATGTCGTTTTTATAAAAAATTACATTTTTTTTGAAACTATTTTAGAAGGAGTTTATTTCGGAGTGTTCTATACGTGCCAGTTGATTTTAATTTAAAAGGTTGGCGCAGAATCTGTAATATAATTTAGAAAATCTGGTAAATGAGAAAGATGTTTGTTTTAAAATAAGTCGACCTATTTTGAATGTTAAATCTATCATTTAATTAAATATTTTACCTTAATTTAGATTTTAAAAATCGAAGTTTTAAATATTTTAGAATGTTTATTTTATTTATAGTATATCAAACGTCTATGCAGCCGAGCGGAAAATGCATTATCCGGTGTCATATTAAGTGTAAGTTTATTATTAAGATATATTTTTTAAATAATTATCTAGAAAGATGTTTTTATTTAATATTTATCAGAGACCTGCAAACCCGGACCACAGCTCTGCTTGGGCCTAAAATTTTTTTTTCCAAAAACCTGAGTGGAGCCGAATTTTTTATCTGGATCGGATCGAATATTTTATAACTATATAAATTTTACATACTTTACTCTACTATGTAAATAAATTTGTTAGTTATAAAGAGACTAATTATAATTTTTTTAGTTAATCAAACTTACAATATAACAAAATAAGATATATTTTGCTCATGAATGAACACAAATGTATTTTCATTGGTATTAAATATTAGCTGAAAGTCGATTCGTAAAATGACGAAATAAGTTTGGTATATTTTTTCCAAACCAGTTACAAATTTTTTTTAAAACAGGGCAGTAAAAATTTTTTTACATTCGGGCTTCTCAGGAATATTTTTTAAAAATACGGGCAGGATAAGGCCTGAAAAAATAAAACCAGGGTCCGCCGAGCCGATTTTTTTTAAAAAAGGATTCCGGTATGGCCGTACAATTGGTAACTTTACAGGTGGTCTATGATATTTATATCGTATTTTAAAGTAACATATATTACACCATAATTAAATTAATATCAATATTGCGTTTTTCGTTTATTAAAAAATCAAAATTATTTGAAATAGAAAAAAATTAATTTTGCGATTCACAATTACTATTAATTTTTGTTTATATTACATTGATGCTCTATCATTCTCATTTGATTGGACAGATTTGACTTCTGTATTTTTTTTATAAGAACATCCGTGAAAACCTAGAGTAGTTGGAGAGTTGAAAGACGTTCAGATTCTGTATTTTTGAGTAGTTTGCTTATCTTATTTTCTATCAATTTTTTAAGGCTTTTTACAAAATCGTTTTTAAACTATCCCTTTTTTTATAAATACATTTATTAGTTTTTAATTTACAAGTTTAAAGAATTATTAATATTGAGTTTGGTTGCTCAACGAAAAGGGGAATTGATTGTTGAGAGTTTTTTCTAAAGTTGATATTATTTTAAAAAATTCGTATTTTTTTTTAAATCAAAATAATCCTGTGAAAAGATGACTTAAAAAAGTTATATGCGTACACATTAATCTAGAGGAATATAAGTTCGGAAAATAAATCTGTATATTTAAAAATAAAATTTTAAGAAGTTACGATAGCTCGGCCATAATTTTGATTCTCGATAAAACGACCCTAACTTAGCTTCGGGGTTCAAAAAACGACCAAGATTTAGAATCGAAATTATATCTAGCTTAAACTCGGGTCATGATCGATAAAACGTCTCAACCTATTAGTCAAACTCAAAAAAACATTCCATTTTTGGGGTCGAGGTCGTTTTTGTTACTTAAACTGGGTTAGAGGTGGAAAAAGTTATCCGAAATTTGGTCGAGCGATACTATAGGAATATGGGTATTCCTCGCATTATCTAATCAACATATATTAATTCAATATTAATTCAATATTAAAGAATAATTAATGCTTATTATCAGACCTATATTCTATAATTTTCACATTGCCAGGTCAAAATTTACAAATTAAGGGATAAATTTTTTTTTGCAGCTGGATGAGGAGTTAGGTCATATTAGACTTCCTTTTTTTATATTCATAGTTGTTTCTTTTACACTTTAAGCATTATTTTATTTTTTATATTGCTTTAATTTCAGAGTGAACCCTTCGACAAATAATTGATCTGGATCTGTGTTCAGGAATAAAGTTTAAAAAAATGATCTAGGATGAGGGTTTAGAATTTTATAAATATTGACTTAAAATAATTCCATTTTTTTCATTTATTATACTCCATATCAATGCACCATCTTCTAAAATATCCTTTTTGATATTTCAACGAAAATCTGATAATATTTATTTCATAGAATAAATTGCACGCTCCACGCTTTCCTATAATAAATAGCCATCTTTATAATATCTTATAAATTATGGTACTTGTGTTGCTGTTACACTCATGACGATTCTAGATAGGATATATAGTTCAGGATATATTGAAACTTTCTTCCCAGAATTTAAAATATTCACATCCTTATTTATTAACCTATGAGAACTTTTCGATTATAGATGTAATAAGAAATTGTAATTCCTCATATTTTTCTGATGATAATTTTTTTCTCTATCTAAAATTAAATTTTCGAAGTCATCAACGGTGTTATCAATATTATCAATACAACCAGTATATGTAGTAGTAGCCTCCAATATATTCTAAAGAAAGGAGTGTTGCTTTGTCATAATTCTTTAGATGGTCTTAAGTTATCTCATTTTTCTCAATATTATTTATAACTTGATATCTAGGGTTTAAATATATAGAAGCATTCTAAACTGTTTTGCAAAAAAATTTGCTCCCGAATATTCATGTTTTTCAATATTGCATAAAAGTATCTAGTCAACTTTTTTCTGTAAATCTAATCGACCTTTAGCCAAAACTTATTCCTATTATATTATTAGCATAAAGTATCATTTATAATATAATATTACCTTTAAAATGGTAGTATATAAACCAGAAAATTAAAAAATAAATAAATAGGAATATATTAAAAATTATATGGAAAGAAATATTTATAAAAAGAACTTAAAAAATGGTAAATATCACCTAGAGGAGTGTATACTTAGAAGATTAGACCGGCAGATTTCGAAAGAAATTTGTTGATGAAGGTGGAATCCTTCGTTGGGGTCGCCTTTAATCTGTCTCCTTTTTTTGTCTTAGGTTTTAATCAAATTAAAGGTCTCATTTCCGAAATGCATAAAACGTGGTGATGATTGGTATGAACACTGTGTTTGTGAGACCAGCATGCTTGTTATTGATTTCTGCTTTTTCGATGGCAGAAAATGTGAGGTTAGACTTCCCTGCAAAATCGACACAAGTTTAATCCTAGGTCAGTGGAAGACCATTCATCCAAGGGATAATGGACATACCATATAGGTAAGGGCGTTTTCATTTGAAAGGCCCGCTGGTTCGAGAGTAGATGGGATATTTACCTTTTTGAGAGGAGCTAGGAGAATTTTGTTAATAGATTTATGGCGGTATAACTTACAGTGCAAGGGATGTTAGGCTTTCGATTCGATGGACCGGTCACAATCGATGAAAATGGGTACAACTGCATTATATCCAAGGCGAAGAGCGATCAGAGTTTGGCAGGTCCTCTAGAAAAAGCTGGGTACAGATACAGATTATTTATAAAAAATGAATCTTAGATACAGATACTAGTATCCTTTTCAAAATATCAAAAAGAATTTAGATAGAGATACAAATTCTTTATATAAAAAATGAATCTTAGATACAGATATTTTTCAAAATATCAAAAAGATAAAAGATACTTGTATCTTTTACTAAATTAGAGTTTCTTATACACAAGATACTTTTAAATTATCATTAACAATTAAATTAGAATAGTTTATAAAATACAGTTTTTACTATTTATTTGTGAAGAACATAGCATACACATATAAGAATGAATATTTGCAATAATTAATAAAATATTTATTAATGAATTAATTATAATAACCAGGGATTTTAATATTAGACTTTGCCCATTAATAGCTTAAACAAGAAAGGGAGAGTAGTATATTTAATGGGAGTTAAAAATTTGCAAATAAGAAAAAAAAATTAAATCGAATTATTTATTAGAATTTGCAGGTTATTTTCTGTGTTGTTTTAAATACAGCTTATGTTAGGAGTATATGGCTAAATGGCATCTCTAAAAAAATATACTGTTAATGACATGGTAGGTAGGTCTAATGGAATTAATGTAGGATTTAGGAAACATATCTCAAACTTAAGGTGATTGAGTGAAACACTTGTAATATGTAAGAGTTTCTCGATTATGGGTGGGATAGAAAGGATTATGGAAAGGTTGTCAGCAATATAGCATCATCATCATTCTTTAAGCACATCGCCCTTTCATGTTGGTAAAAACAACTCACACCCATCAAACTGAGTAAAAATATATGGGCAGGCTGCAGTTACCTGTGCGCACATAACGACTAGCTTTAAGATAGTTAAAAGAGCCCACACCCGCTTTAAACGAAATTTTAATTTATTTGCCCCCCTCCCCGATGGTTAAACAGCCAACGATCGTGGCTACAATAATTTCAATTATGTTTAGTCGTCTCTTTGATTTTAGTATTATTTATTTCTAAGTCATCTCTAAAGCCATTTCTCTAACCTTGTTTAAGCTTAACCATTCACTACAAAGGTGGGGTATACAATACCCCACGGCTTTTATAATTATAATAATTAAAATTCCTGAAAATAATTTGACCTGGATTTTATAGTAGTTTAATATTTTGTTATAAATAACATATCTACTTAATTTCAAGATAATTGATTTGATATATTTTAAATTATTTGCAATTTGTTGAGCTTGGGGTAGTATAGGTACCACCTTTGTACTTACGATTTTTTTTCCAATTTTTTTTTTATTAATTAATTAAGTGTTATATATTACAAACTAATATATAAAATTGAAAATAAATTTTTAGTTTTAAATTTTTCATTGTTGTATTGTGACCCAAAATTTTATACTATTTTTTTTTCTTGTGGAGCTAAATACTATAAAAGATGCATATGGAAAAATATCATCAAGTTCTGGACGTATTGTCTATTTAATATTTGATATTTATAACATTTTATATAGATTGTGAGTCAAGTGATGATTAGAGATATAAATTTAGTTTATTTGCATTTAGAGAAAATACAACTATAGTTTCATACATACCAAAAAAGTATAAGAATATAGTGTTGCTTTCTACACTCATTATGATAACAAAATTGTTGCATCAACTGGCTGAGTTTGAAAAACCAGAAATTATAACGTTTTATAATTTAACAAAAACTGGAGTTGATACAATTGATCAACTATCCTCCATATATTATATATCCAGAAAATCCAATAGATGGCCATTGACCATTTTTTATACTATAGTAAATATATCAGTAATAAATGCACTGATAGTTTATAAAGCTAATAATTTATAGAATATAAAAACTTATAAAATTATTAGCAATGGAACTGATAACTCCTTATATGATCAGCAAAAGATTATTACGTAACAACATTGGGGATGTTCTCAATATAACTGATGAAAAACATATTCAATCAAATAAAAAGGGAAGATGTTATGATTGTCCAGTGAAGGATGTAAAAACAACATTTATTTATTTAAATTGTTCAAAATTCATTTGTAAAGATCATATGCATACATTTTGTCGTGAATGTTATTACAAAAATTTACATGGTATTTGCTGATTAATATTTTTTTAATATTTGATATTTTTTTTATAAAATTTATGTAATTATCTTTATTCAACATTGATTTAATAAAATCTATAATTTGCATTTTTTAAATTTTTTTGGTGATAAAACTATAATTAAAAGAAGGTCTCAGAAAAAAAAATTTATTTCAAGAACTTTAGGAAAATTTGCATAACTTTATTTTAGAAGTAACTGTTTATCTAAGATTTTGTATTTATTATCTCCAATAATCTTTTAATATATATTCAAAATTTTAGATCTCAAATTTTAATATGTTCTGAGATATAGCTAACCAAAATTTGGGGTAAAATAGACCCCACCTTTGTAGTTAAGGAATTATTTTCCACTTTTGTAGTGAAGGATTAACGGTTGCTCTTCGTCTCTAGTATCTGGGTATCTTAATCGTAGTTCTTTATCTAGTTGCGTTATCTTTAATACAGCGATTAATTGATCACGAATCCGTAGTTCTATATTATCTTTAAATTCATTTATACGGGCTAGTTCCTTTATATTTTTCTAAATAATTCATTAACCCATCGCCTGCACCCACCACCTTCGGTAGCAAAGCTCAACGTTTTTTCAAAGATTTAGGCAAAAGGATCCGCGAAAAAACCGACCAGCCTAAGGAATCCCTCTTCTTATGCCAAAGACTTACTACCGCCATCATTTGTTCTAACTATCTAAGCTTCATCTCTTCCATTGAATAACCTTCCATTTTCCAAGCTTCCTTTTTTTATCCCCTATCCTTTTCCGTAAATTCTATTTCTACAATTTTTCACCTTTATTTATTTTACCTTTTTAAAAACTTAATTATTTGGTAATACATTTTGACATCATATCATATCAGTAAATATTCAAATAAAGTAACCCATGACCGGAAAAAATCTAATAAAATCAATTCTTGATGCCAAGACTGTTCTTTCGTCTTTAAAAACTTGTTTTGCAATTTTATATAAACCTACCCATATCACATCATCAATTTTCCTTGAAAATAGTTATTTTTTTAATATCTGTTATATTATTTCTCCATATGCGATGAATAATTTTTTTAAAGTTGCATTTGTTTGAGGAATATTCATTACATTCAAAATATATTTATTATAATCCAAATAATCATCTAAAGAAGTTTCATCTTTGCGAAATTCGTTTTATATAATTTTTCAAATACAACCCATAATTTCTAAAAATATATAATTTTCTTATAAAAAATTTTTTTTATACAATTCTATTTAATATTTAACTTGACCGAAGACCACGTCATTTTTATTTTATCGCCATATATCTTGAAGAAAACTCATAATATATGATTAATGATAACTTTTTATTCTCAATTCTTGTATATATATATATATACTAATCTATAATTATTCAATATATTTTCATAATTATTCAATGCTATGTTATTGTATGAAAAATATATTATTCAAATAACGTTGACTTATAACCTTTTGAAATATATAAAATATAACATAATCAAAAAGATAATATTGTCTATTTACCATTGAAATACACGTAAATCTTCTCTAAAATCCCTAATACGTTTTTATCGATAAGCATAATTGAACAACTATTAAATTTAATAGATACAATAGCACGTGATAAAACTACCTTTGTCCAGTTCTATTCAAAGCCTCTACTCCATTGATGTTTTAAGCATCATCATAGCTTTGTCCAACTAAGAATAGAAGGGTAGATTTATTGAATTAAGATTGCCTATAAAATTTTTAATATCAAACCCAGTGGTGTTATCCATACAATATATATCTATTAATCTTCCTACCAGCTTAGGCGGCTCATTTCCATTATATCTTACTAACAAAACTATTGATTTCGAAAAAAGCATCTGTGAGATTTAACTTCTTTTTGAATTATTTTAATAACCATATTTTTCCTGGTATTTATATTGTTATTCGATTATAGATTGTAATATAATTTGGATTTTAATTCATTTTATTTTACATCCCCTTTTTTTCTTCATTTTTTATATATATAATTTGAGAAAATTTTGTAAAAATTAAAAAATTTTTTAGGGTACAATATTTGCTATAAAATAACAACCATAAGAGGTAGTTGCGTTGTACCCTCTCCGTTGTATGGACTACAGTCCTATCACCAGTTTTTAAAATTAAATTACAAACAACAACATACAAATAAACATTTTAAAATTAACTATTACTTATTAGGAACCCCTATTATGTTTTGCTTAAAATTATTTTGATCCCAAAATTTTTTTAATATTTTTTATATAGCTTCATGTTCTTATATAGTAGAAAACAAATTAATATTTGTTGGAAATTATTTAGCCAGACTAAAGTTTGTTAAATAAGTTATTTTCTAAATTTATTTCTTAGACATTAATTAACAATATTCCTTATAAATTTTTTATATTGGCAATTCAATTTTGAAGTTATTTATTTGAACTTAAAATTATACAAGGCAATTTTTCATTTTATGCTCAAAGTCAAAACTTTATGTCGTGTTATTGATTAAAAATTATATTATAATTTAACATAAACATCCAATAGAATTTTTAAATTTATTTATAAAACAAAAAATTCAACAAATTCTGATATTTAAAATTTATTTATAATGTTATTAATTTTAATATAGGAAAATTTTATGGGACTTTTAATTTGTGGTAAAGTGATCGTGGGGATGGGAGGAGGCCGGGGAATTTTGTTTATAGCTGCAAAATTATTTTATTTAGTTTTAAATATTTCTATTATACATTTTTTCAATATTAATAATAAATATTTAAATTTTTATATAGCTTATAACATTATTTATTTATTATTTTGTCAAAGTTTCTATCAATTTTTATTTCTCACAATTTTTATATATAGCGAATAATTATGAAATCACCCAGAAAGAGTCGATATTTAGCGTGACATTTTATTTTTTAAAATTCATTTTCCAACCCTTTAAACCCATATATTGGCATATGTTCGGCATATAAAATAATACAATTTTTTAAACAAATTGCAAAAATTGGACGTGGTGGGCTTGAATCTTTAATTTATTGATATGTAAACATATTTTTTTGATCTTACCATAATACGAGTATATTAAATATCTTATTAATAACAGCCGAAATTGGAAGAGAGATTAAGGGAAATAGCCATAGCTACCAGGCAAACCAAATCTAATTCGGGCCTTTATAGGAATTTGTTATTTTACGGATCACCTGGGACTGGGAAAACAATGTTCGCCAAAGTTTGTTCATAGAGAATATTCTATAAAATATCTTGCCTTTTATTAAGATTGCATTACTTTACAAATTTTATATAGAATTTTATTGTTATAATATTAAAATGATACCCTTATACACTAAATCATCTGTATAATTGACTTTTCTGTTATTAGTAAATTTCAAAGTCCGGCGCCAGAAGCCTATTTGGGTTGTTTCATAATAAGCTGCCAACTTATTTTCAGGGATCCAAACCGAACCATTAAACAGCTGAAAGTCGATAATTTTTTTATCGAACCTAAATCTCTAAAATCCAGCCAAACCTGAACCGAACCACTTAAATGCCTCTGTACCGGTTCGGGTCATGGCTTTATGCTTATAAAATAAAGTATAAGTTATTACTAGTATATTTCAAAATTGTTTATCAATCACATTTGATTGATAAGTGTCAGTCATAATTTTTATGAATTTTAGTATATTGCCATTTTACAACATTTTTTAATTATTTTAAGAAATTATAATGCCTAGAGAAAATTAAATCCAATATATAAATTATTTGCATATAGTATTATAAATGACACATCAAAATTTACTGATTGTCAAATAAATATGAATGGCCATCATGGAGCAAATCTTGAGCATCACATAAAAAGAAACCACCCTCTAGAATTCGATAAAATTAACAAAATATTACAACAAAAGCCTAATAAAATAAAAAGGTTTAAGATGTCATCAAGCCAACAGACGATAGAAGAACCATTAAAGGTAGGGCTGTGCCGATCCACATATTTTTCGATAACAGCCCTAATTAAAAGAACAAAATATCAGTAAAACTAAATAAAATAATAATAATCGATGCTTGTACTGAGTTGGTCACTGGGTAATATTAAAATTTATCCTCAATATTTAATCTAATGTAGCAGAATTATCCTTAAGTATTCGGCAAAATATAATCAAAGAAATAATTGGTAAGTTATTATCTCTAAAAAATGACTATGTTACTCGTCTAGACAGGTCCATTATTGGGATTAATCTTCAGTATATTCAAAAAGCAAAAATTGTTCTGAGAACACTAGCAATGAAAGTAATTTTTGAACTGCAGAAAATTTAAAACTCCTTTTAATAAAAGTATTATATGATTATGAAATCAAAACATCACAAACATACACTATAACAACTGGCAATGGGTAAATCTTATTAAGATGGTAAATTATTTATGGAGGATAGTGATAATAACAATCAAATGTTAGAAAATGAAAAAGAACAAATACAAAATTTAGATGTTTCAAAAATTTATCTGATGAATTAACGATAGATTTTAATGATTCTCAATATAATATTATAAATATAAGATGTGCTTCTCATACCTTTCAATTTGTGGTAGATCATGAATAAAGCTCGTACTGCCTACAAGAAGCTAAGGACAAAATCGATATCAATCATACTAAAAAAAAGATATGTCAGGAATTATCAGTATCATACAATGAACTTTATTTTACAGCTTCAGAGTGGGAAGCAATTATAGTGGTGATAAATATCCTACAACCAATTAAAGTAGCTACCAAGACCTTACTACTTGAACAGCTAACTTTAAGGGATTTTTATGGCATATGATTAAAAGCTAAATAAGAAATTTCTAATTTTAATTCACCCTTTTCTGGTTCAATAATAGATGCCATGAACAACTTTTAAACCACAATGCCTTTTAATGACTATATCTAGATTTAAGGTATATTTTAAATATATATATCTTATATAAATTTAATTAATAATTTAAACCTTAATTAATAATTTTATTCTACTTTATATATTTTTTATCTATTCATAAAAAATAATAAGATTTTTTAAATGATATTATCAATTTTTATTATATAGATATCAAATGCTTCTGACTGAAGAGAAAAAACAAAGGATAGAGAGCATATTATTAAAATATGCCATAAAATGGAATTAAACTTTGTTATAAGAGTGGAGGATTCTATTGAAGGTGAATCAACGCCGATTAATTTATCTTCAGCTGAATACGATTTAGTAGAAAGTCTTCTTAAAAATGAGATGGTAACAAACAAAATCTCTTAAAATTGGAGAATATTAGAAATATTTTAGTTAATTTTTCTAAATAACCTAAGTTAAATAAAAATAAGAATATTTTAGACATTGGAGAAATCAGAGTAATCTATACCCATAATTATGTAAATTGTCTGATATCATACCTGCAGTGCCGGCTATCCATAGTGTGGAAAGATGTTTTTGTTAACAATTAAATTTATACTCTCTCCTTATAGATCTAATTTGAATGAGACGAATCTTAAAATATATTAATTATGCAGCTTAATAAATTTTTTTAAGTAAATAAAGTTAAATACTGTTCATATTAAAATTTATCATTAATATTTATTTATATTTATAAATTAAATATTATTTGATAATGTGCAATTAATAAAAATGAAGGTTTAAGGTATGTTTTTTATTTTAATGATGAAATAAAAAAAATATTCTTCCCTATACATAATTCGAATGTAGGTTTGAATACAAAAGTGTTCACACCGGTTATTAGTGATTCAAACCAAACCGATATTTGTTTTTTACGAATCGAACCTTGAACAATTATTTTTATCCGAACCTCAACCTAACCGATTATTCGGTTTTAGATTACTGCTTATTTTTATCTAATTTTAAATTATTTTTTATGTAATGTAAATTTAAATATACCACATTGTCCACCTCTACAATATTTAGCGCCCCCCAGTGCCAGAAAGGCATTGGTATACTCCGTGGTCTCGGTGGACCTTTTGTTTATTTATATTGTATCGATTATGTTTAAAAACAATAATGAATTTTATTTGTAATTCTTTTGAATATTTATACTTTTATATAATTATCAAATTTAGCAATTTGATTAACATCGATAATATAATATTAAATATAGGAAAGTTATAATATTGTATTGCAAATATAATATTCAAATTATAACCTTTTAAAATATATAAGATATTATATAAATTAACATAAATTTATAACTAAACAGATATGATACAATTCATGCCTGGCAAATATATAACGTAATTATTATGAAAGCATTATAGAGATTCAATCAATCATGGCTCATTGGTTCGGAATTTTAGGGGGTGAAGGATTAGCTTGTATTTACAAAAATAATTGAAAAACTATAATTGTTTTAACCCGTAATTGCTTTTATATACGGGACCTTATATCTTGAGCTTTTCCTGGATTTCCTGATCTATACGAGCATCTACAGGAGTATACAATATATAAGATAATTGAAAGATGTTAAACTATATTTTATTTCTAATCTGGGATATACCATCTAGGAATATTAGCGAACAGTGGGAAGGGATTAATGTTCCTCGAAGTTAAGTGTTCCTCATGTTCTTCAATGACAGTGTTGATTGATAGGTATAACATTCTGTCGAAGATTGTTGGGTCGATGTCTTGTTCCAATCTCTGGATCTCGTTATCGTTAAAGCTGTCTACCTCATAGATTCAAGAGGGGAGTGGAAGCCTGTGTCAAAGGGAAGGGATCTGCGGGGCCCCCTATATCGCATGGAGAGTGCCACGAGCATTCTCGTTGCTTATTCATTGACGGCTTGGTTTGTCCGCTAGGCTTTGTTCCGAGGCTATCATGTTATCAAGATCCTCCCATCTTTATAATAATGTATGCAACTTGGCTGTCGGTGACGATTGCTGACACTTTTTTATATTTGTTCCTTTTATTTGATGTGATGTGTAGCTAGCTCTGGAATATCCAAAGCGTGTTTTGCTTCGTTAAAGGTGAAGGAGTATCCTTCTGATAAAATTTCTGCAATTCTAACGTGTGTGGATGAGGTATCGACGTAAATTATACTGTTAACTGGGAAGGTGAAAGAGAATCGATTCATGGGCGCAACCACTGCTTTGGGATAAGCCTTGAGTAATCAATCTGGGGAATATCCTCCGTGTTAAATATAGTGCTGTAATAAGGTGTGAATGCCCTAGCTAGGCTCGTTATTGAATGCGTATAGTGGTTTAGAATGCCGAGCACTTCTAACGCTATTTCTCTCTCAATGCTCATGGATTATATTGATGCTTGTAAAGAATCAATTGGCAGAATCGTAGTCGGGACTTGTTTTCCTGGTCGACTGACCCTTTTATCTGCGAATTTAATGTTAATACCCAAGTACGTTATTTTATGGGTCGCAATGCTGACATGGTCACATTGACGACCAGCCTCCAAGCAGTGGCCATGTTCAAAAAGGACATGGTTAGTGTTAAGCGGCTCGTTTTGAGCCGATTTAAAAAAAAAATGACTAACTTAATTTATCCAGAAAACTAAGGATTTTGTTCACCAGAGGTTTAAACATCTGTTAAATCTCGATGCTTGAAAAATATTGAAGATACCGTTTTTAAAAATTGAGCCGTTTAACAACACTAGCATTCATGATAGATTTAGCGCACAAATCCAGAACCACGTTCTATTAGGCACAGAAAAAATTTGTTCCCATGGAGAGAGTCTTGTAGCGATATTTTGCGTTGGTCATGACGAATCCAAAGAATCTGCGCCTACTCTGGGCCAGAGGGAGAAGTGGATTTTAAGTTAATTTTGGTTACCTTTTTAGCCGATGCTAACATAGGGGCGATCATCGGGATGGTCTCTAACCGGAACTGGTACTTGATAAAGTTACGCGAAAGCGTCCTTTGCTTTGTGATTAGAAATAATGGCTAGTAAAAGGTATCATCCATGTTCTCAATAACGGCGGCTTGTACTATCTGTTACGAATCGATTTTCGAAGTAGCCGTCATGGTCCTCTATGGCCTGATTATCGAATCTGGGGCAAATCTCTAAGGGTTATCTTCCTTGTGAATGGGGTGAACGGGATGGAACTTGAGGGTGGATACTGATAAGTCTGATCTGGCTTGCAAATTAACTTCTATGCTATTCTTGTTAACTCCCATGAGTCTGAGCAGCTTACGATACTTTCCAATTGGCGGGGGTCATGACAACTACCCTGTGCGGGGTAATCCTATTTTAGAATATATTAGCCATGATAATAGGTTCACCTCGTGCGTCAAATTACTCATTAACGGTAGTTTCACATCACTGTTTCCATTCTCTGATGGTTCATCTTCGTTATCCTTGGAGGGATCCTTGTTTCTCTCTCCTTTTCCAAGCGAAAACTTATGGCGCCTAACATCTCTGATCCAGCTATGGAGCTCGTCCTGTCCTAGTCTAGAGATCCAGGTGTCCGCTCAGGGAGCCAAGGCTTCCACGATACTAAATTGGATTACGAAAGGGAGCGGGATTAGAGAAACTCACTGATTCGACGGAGGCTTCTTCCGCCTCTTGGGTCCTCCTGTCCATGATTTATTCCACTTCATAAGTGCTTACGTTGAAGGTTTGTCGCTCCTAGGCATGGGTGGCTGGAAATTTGTACCACTGGTATTAGTCCCAGCCGGACGCTGTTTCCTTGGACTTGGATCCTCTAAAGGGAAGCTCTGCAATCGACGGTGGCCCCTATCTCACGAATTTGTAGATTAACGCTTGGGATTCCCATTTCGTTTGCTCACATTCCCCATGCTACCTATTTAGCCTATATCTGTGCTTTGGATACGATATCTCACGGTAACTTGTAAGCCATGTCTTCCATAAGTTCTTTCAATGCAATCTTTAGTGATTGGAATTCGTAGACATCCTTTCCTTTCAATACAAATAGGTCAGATGCCGTTTATAAAATCGACGTGAGATCGATAACGTGATGGGGGAATTTGAACCCTCTCTTAACTATTGTCATCGGGTACTCTGCATTTTTGTAGTCCTAGGGAGGTGCCGATGAATCTAAAATTTTAGCTATATATCTATTTTAACATTAATTTTGTAAAATTGCTAAATATCTTTATTATGAATGATTTTTTATGTGAAATTTTAGCAAAGTATGTTAACTTAATTGTCATCTTTGTCTGTTATTTTATACAAATATTAAACGGTATAGTGCTCTTTTATAAAAAAAACTGATAGATAATAATGGCAACTTTTTTTTGGAATTAATCTAATTATTGTTAAAAAAATTTATGTCATAATATGAATAGAGCTATATAATAAAATTTAAATCATGATTTTAATTAAGTCATAATCTGAGATAGTTTATATTAAATTTTTATATATTTTGTAGTTTTCGCTTTTTTAAAGGTTACTATTCTGTAAGAATTAGATTTTTTAAATAAGTTATATTAAAGATTTGTAAAGCCCAGCCTGAAATTACAACGGGCCGGTCTGGACAATCTTTACATAAAAAGCGGGCCAGGTAACGCATATCTCTAATTTTTCTCAATTTTTTAATGTACTAAATTTAGCATTAAAAATTGATACTATTTGAAAATAAATTGCAATATTTTTATTTCTTTATATTTTAAAAGCTATCTCTAAAATACTAAATCTATAAATTAAATAACAAGTTCACAAAAAATCAGAACAATTTATTTATAAAACAGTTTTAATATAAAATAGAAATAGAGAGATATTAATTGACAGAATAATAAGATGTAGAAATAGAAAACAAATGTGCCGATAGAATTTTAAGCAAACCAGTAAATCAGTAAAAAATTAACGGTCATAGAGGGCCGGACAAACACCGAACCGAGAAACTTATTCTCCTATCTCTGGTATATATTTACTATCATAAAAATTTAAAAAAATCTAATTCAACATGATTACAACAAATGTTAACATAGCACCAATTGAAAATTTTACATCGCACATTCTTCCATAGCTGAAATTTTTTTAAACTTATTGTTCAGAGTTTAGCATTACATTCTGGTATGGACTATGCTATAATGACTGGTGGTGACGTTTCTCCTATGGGACCTCAAGGGGTATCTGCGATACACAAACTTTTCGATTGGGCGTTGACTAGTAAAAGAGGGTGAATTAGCAATTTCAATTTAATTTTACTTTAATTTTACTTATGGTTTTCATGCGTAAAAATATATTGATTATGTTTTATGACAAAAGGACATTAAAATTTTGTTTTATATACCTTTTTTTGAATATTTCAAAAGGAGATTGAACCGTTATAATACATTCGAACCAATTTTTAGCTCTTTTTTAAAATTATCTTGATTTTAATGATAGTTTAATTTTAAATATTTTTATTTATTATAATAGAATATATTTTATTAATTTTTATTGGACTTTTTATCTATATTTAAAAAATAAATATTTCAATATTATTAATTATATCTCATTTTTTTTCAGAGTTAAAACTGGAACCTTGGATCCTCGGAACCGTGAATAATAATATCTTTAATATAAAAACCTTACAAAATAAATAAAAATAAAAGTCAATAATCATATTTTCTTCAACATACAAAAATTTGATCTATAAATGTTAGTATAATACTGACTTATGACATGCCCCCTTTCATTAGCTTAAAACATTACAGAACAAATAAATATAATACCACTAATAATTGTATAAAATTCAATATATTGACGGCAAATTGCAAAAAAAATACTTGCGTTCTTTCCAGTAGTCATTTTAATAGGGTTTCATTTTTGTTCTTTACCGTTTCATTATGGCAATCATAGTTGTGGTCATTCTTCTTACGTTAGCAGTTATACTAGGAAGTTTGTTTCCGTATTTATTTGGGGATCGTATATGAGAATCATTCTTATTTAATCCATAATTAGTTTAGATCAGTTTATTATCTTTGATGGATATAGTTCGTTTAGTTGAGTCTACTAGTTTAGGAGCCAAATTTGTTTTATTTACCCCTTTATGTCAAATCTCAAGATTCACCCTACCCCTTTCAGGGATATATGCATAATTAATACCTTTTTTGTGTCGGTATTCATTAAATTAATAATTGATTAAAAACTACCCATGTTATAGTATTTTATGATTACTATGGTATAAAAGCGTATCAGGTCATTTCCCATAAACTTTTATACGAAACAATTTCGCGTTTTATCACGACAGACTCTTTGCGGAAAACCCTAATAACATAATATTAAATGCAAACTCAGTTTATGAATGGTTGGAAGCCATCGCCAGTTCCAATCTCGGCCTTTCATTTCATGACTTGTGAACAAACATTAGTTATTAAATGACAATGAATTTAAAAATATAAAATTAGTATTATAGATTTATATTATATACAAGATAAAGTTAATATTTACAAAACATTTATTTGAATTTTACCATATTTCACCGGTCAAATATCGGTCAATTGACTATTATTTGACCGGTCAAATACACAACCCTGATTAAAATATACAAGTGTTTATGAGATATATTTTATGCTTTATTTATTCTTAGTATATAAAATTTCCTTATGGTCTGGATTTAGAATATGATCACCGTCTCCTCGACTAGGTATAAAAACCACCTAAAGGGGTTGATGTCAGGAAGGCCATCCGATTGTAAAAACCTTGCTCCCAAATTTCTAATGATTACAACAAAGCATGGACGGTGTATAACCCAAAGTACCTCGTGGGCCTCCTCATCCGCCTATGACAAAAAAAGGGATGGGAAACCTGGTGGAACCACGATTCATGAAATAAAACATATGACGGCCATAAACGACCTGATTATAAGTGAACCAGTTTACGGGGGATAAAGTAAGTGTTGCACATCGAATGTTGGGAGCATAACGGGGAGAGCGCAATGTACTGCTTAGAAGACATATAGATATGTGTTGCATACAAGAGACCAGATAGAAGGTTAATGGCGCAAGAATGATTGCCAGGACAATTAAAAAGTATAAATTTTTCTGAAAAGGAAGTAATGATGGTAAGATTGACCTTGGCGTATTGGCTGCAAGAAATGGGTAGACAAAGTATTCGAGGTAAGAAAACTAGACAACCTGAACATGATTATTATCAAAATGATTGGTAGAAAGCTATGAAATATTATTTCGGCATATGTTCCTCAGGTTAGAAGAAGAGAAAGATACATTTTAAGACAGTCTATTGGAGATGAAATCGAGACTGGCAAATGAAGAGGGAATTATCCTGGCTGGTGATCTGAATGGACATGTGGGAGGAAATATTGAAGTTTATGAGGAAGTACATGGAGAATTTAGTTACGGCATGAGAAATCCGGAAAGGGAGAGAATTTTGGATTTGATGATGCTATGGATATGTAACATAATGTTTAAGAAGGAACCAGAGAAGCTAGTAACTTACAAGTCTGTTAGTGCTAAAAGTGCGGTTTATTATTTGTTAGTAAGGAGATGTAATAGGACCATAGTAAAAATGTGAAAATGATACCGGTAGAGGTATATATGATCAGCAACGACTAGTTATAGGAGATCTCACTTTTAAAGTCGCAGGATCACTAAAAGGGCCTGAAAATGAATACAGTAAAGGTGATGATTGGTGGAGATAATCTGAAGATGGATGTATTCGGCAACTGGTCTTATGGTATATCTGGGAAAGGAGTTGCCAGAAATTCAATTTAATGCACCAGATGTCAGAAATTGGTATATAAAAGATTTGTCGGGAAGAAAGGAAATCTGATGTTAACAAGATTGACCTCTATTTGTAGCGTGCATAAAAGGAGTACATAATACTGATAAAATAGAAAATGACTGTTTGGATATTGGCAATGCGAAGAAATAGACTAAGATGGTTTGGGCTGTGGAACTTAAGACAAAAGATGGCTGGATAAAAAGATGCACCTTGATGGAAGTAGAAGAAAGACCTAGAGGAGGGTCAAAGATGATAGCGGCGGATATTAGAAAAATGAATCTTACAAATATTGATTATCAGGACCGTCAAAAATGGAAAAGAAAAATCAGAGGGAAAACTGACCATCTTGCGTAAACCAGGAGATCACGATTAAACGGAGAAAATTCTTAGTTTATAAAATATATTTTAAAATAAGTTAACAAAATATATAAATTGATACTATATTCAATATATTAATTATGCCGTTAAAATGTTACCTATATTTCTTAAATATATGTTCACGTCACATTTTTTGATGATATATATATTTTTTAATTGACTTATAATATGCCAATTTATAAATAATATGAATGATTATATTTGTCTGAAGCATAGTATTAAACTATCTCCACTTCTTTTCCTTACGTTGCATTTTCGACCATACCTGTTCTTTCCAAATACACGTCAACGGGTTCTTCCATAAACCCCTCCAATTTCTTTGCTTATACATCATAATTATTAACTATTTAATTTATTGTAAATATTCAACTGAAAGGCAATTGCCATAGCCAATTATCCTTTCGGTAGAAATTTTTACCTAATTGCCCTTTTAATTTGGGATATATGTTCTTGATATATCCCAATTAAAACGTTGAGAATGATATATTTTCCAATTCCTATTTGTAAAAAGGAAACGATATTTATCATATTTCTTGGATATCACAGCCTCTAACCTAAATTCATCATATAAAATGTACATAACGTAATAATTATACAAATTGGCTTATTATACACCTCTATTTTGCCAATTACAACTGCCACATTAGGAAGGATAGTAACTACTAAATTTAAAATATATTAATATCTATCGAATTTTAAAAATGTTACCATTTCTTTGATGGTCCATCACGCTTTATCATCCTCGTTTTATCATTTATTATTTTAACAACCTTTTTTATATTCTCTTTGGAATTCCATCATTTAAAAAATATATTTAAAAAATTTAAGTGTTAAATATTTTTTATTGTACCTTGTTTTCATAATCATTTTTTTCCAATCATTCGTGTCTAAATATTTTTAAATAGTTTTAATTAAATCCCTGTTATAGAGAATATAAGATTCATCATCAAAATCTATGATTTATACATATAATAAATTTTATTAATTTGTTATATCGCCTTTTTGTTATCTAATTAAATGGGCAAAAACAGGGGTTCTAACTGAACCCGAACCTGGAGAACAAAACCCCGGTTTTTGGGAAAAAATTTGAACCCGAACCAAACTTGAAACCCGTTTAGAAAATTTTCAAAACCCTTAGCTGTACCCGGGAATTTTATTTAAACCCGGGTTCAGTGTATTGTTTAAATTAATATAAGATATTTGTATAATTGTATATACAAATATTAATAATTTACTTGACATTTTATAATATTTTCAAATTTCCATTTAAGTTTTAATAAATATTAAACAACTTAATTATCTTTTTAAATTTATTCTCAAAGATTCCTATTGTTAATAAATTTTAAACAATCAAATTCATTTACGCCATTTATTTTTAATTTTTAACTTATTCTCAAAGATTATTAATTAGAGAAAAATGAAAGTGAACAAGTCAAATTAAAAATGATTATATTGGATATTGTTAATTTAAAGAAATACATCTAAATAAAATTTTTTAAATCTATACATGACTATGCTTTGTATTTTTAACTATATTTGCCTATAAATTAAATAAAATAATAATTTTTTATACCAAATTTATGTCTAGTTTTTTTTAATCATGATTTAAATATAGAATATTTTTTTTTATTAATTCAAAAATTCTTTAACCCGGAATCAAATAAGGGTTCAAAAATATTTCCCTGAACCGAACCCACCTATTTTTTTAACCTTAAACCGCATCCCTGGGCAGAAATATATATTATTTAACTAAAAAATATAATTCTAATCATAAAAGATTTTTCATAAATGGATATATAATATAGTTTTTGTAAAATAATTTTTTATAAATGTATATATAATATATTTCTTGTAAAAAGATACAAAATCATGTACATGGCAAAATATTATAGTCTGCTAAAAAGTATATGCAAACAAATGTGAATAAAGAAATCTGATTTAAAATTATCAAGCTTAATTTTTAATAAATGATTTAATGTAAGTTTTGTTTATGAAATGGGCAGTTAATTTTATCTATTGCTCTCAAATGGGGTTTATATAGATTAAAATATCTTTGGTATTTTTAGTCCAGGTTTCAAATTCTGGCTTTTACTTAATTTGTTATTTATTTATTTCCTTATAAAATAATTTTTTTTTTTTAGCTTTCACCTTTTTCTGGTGGTAGGTTCCTTAAATATCTCTATTCACTTTATGTTATTTATGCTATCGCTTTTATCTAATTTATATTTCTTCATATTGGCTCTAACTTTATGGCCCCATTGATGTTTTGGCCTTCCTCTTTTACATTTGCATATCACTTCCAAACTCTTAACCTTATTCCCTATATAGTTAATAGGCCTTCTCATGTGTGCCTTACCACCTAAGTCTGTTCACTATTTTCTTAGTCTTAATAGGGAGTACCTTTAATCTTTCTAGTGTTCCTGTACTTCGCACCTTAATTTTCTTGATACCCCAGCAATCATCCTCAGCATTATCATTTATATAGTTCGTAGACTTTTCTGGTCTTTTTGGTTGGCCATGTTTCCGAACTCTGTAGAATAGTTGGTTGTACTATGGAACTGTAAATTTTTCCCTTTAATTTGTGTGGGATTCTTTTGTCAAATAGCACTCCACATAAAGATCTCCACTTTAACCACCCTTGATTAATTTTACTCTTAGCTCTTTTTCAATTGTGCCGTTTGTATAATGGAGCCCAAATATTTGCAGCTTTCAATTGCCAATATCTGCCATTCATTTATATTAATACTCTCTTTTTCATCTCCTTCTATCACCATATACTCCGACTTTTCTCTATTTTTCTTTTAGTCCGTGCTTTTCTAGGATATTTATCCAGCTCACTAATCTTTCTTTCATTTCATCCTTGGATTCGGCAAGTATCACAATATCATCTGCAAATATCATATTCCACGGGACTGTTTGCGATATAGACTGTGATAATATATCTATTATTGTTATGAAGAGAAGTGGGTTGTGAGCCGACCCTTGATGAACTCCCTCGGCTATTGTGAAGCCTGCTGAAGAACCAGTTTTACTACGGACCATTGTTTTATTGCCCATATGCATATCCTGTATTATTTATATTTTTCTGGAACCTTTTTGTGGCGTAGCGTTCACCAGATAAGTTTTCTTGGGATTTTATCGAAGGCCTTTTCTAGATCGAGAAAGGCCATGTGTAGCTTTTCGTCCTTTTCTCTCTATTTTTCACTCAATTGCCTAATTTTGTGTATAGCATCAGTCGTTGATCTTCTAGGTATAAAGCCAAACTAAATCTCTCCTATTTCGACTATGTCTCTTAAACTTTTTCTATTATTTTTTTGTAAAGCTTAAGATAGTGTGACATTAATTTTATGCCCCTGTAATTTTGATCAGGGTTGTACATTTGAATGGTCAAAAACGTTTCGGTCAATTGACCGATATTTGTCAGGGCAAATATGGTCAAAATCAAATATATATTTTTTTAAAGTCAATATTAACTTTATTTTGAATATAATAATAAATTAAATCTATAATATTTAAATTCATTGTCATCCAATAACTAATATTTAGCTCTTTGTAGCAGTCTTGTTCTGTTTCATATTCAATATTATCTCTTTCTTTAATCAATTTTCCTGATGTCGAGATCTTTTGATTTCTATTTTCATAGGAATATTAACCCAAATCGACCTATTTATTTCTAAAGAAGTAGAACTAGGTATTGTTAGTCTCATAATGGTCATGGTGGACAAAGTTTAATCTATTAAATTGAGGTCGGAATTGATTGTTTCTTATGAAAATTACTGTTTTCCACATAATTTGCTATTAAACATGCCTTTGATTCTGAAATTAATTATGTCACTTTTGGTCATCACCACCTTGTAAAATGGCTAATTCTTGAATTATATCATATACTTCATTGAATTCATTACTAGTAAGATGCTCCTCTTGATATTGGGACCCAATAAATACGCAACATTGTGATCACATGTATTTATATCGTTTTTTTCTTATTTAAACATATTTTTAATTTTTTTCTTTAAATTTTTTTAGAGTATTTGACCGTATCTACCGGTCAATTGACCGACTTGCCAACCCTGATTTTGACACTTGCGTGGATCCCCTTTATTTTTGAAGATAGAAACTAGATAGGTCCAGATGATATTCCAATAGAAAGCCTAAAATCTCTAGGAGATGAAGGAATACATATCCTCACAAATCTATACAATAAAATACTGGGAAACAAAGAGATTCCTCAAAAATGGAGGCAGACCTATCTAGATCCTATCTTCAAAAATAAAGGGTATCCACACAATTGTCAAATTTACAGGGGCATGAAATTAATGTCACACTGTCTTAAACGTTACGAAAAAATAATAGAAAAAAGGTTAAGAGACATAGTCGAAATAGGAGAGACTCAGTTTGGCTTTATGCCTGGAAGATCAACGACTGAAGCAATCCACACAATTAGGCAGCTGAGTGAAAAATACAGAGAAAAGAACAAAAACTACACATAGTCTTTCTCGATCTAGAAAAGGCCTTCGAGAGAATCCCAAGAAAATTTATCTGGTGAGCGCTACGCCACAAAAAGTCCCGAAAAATATAAATGATACAGGATATTATCACAGTCTATACCGCAAACAGTCCAATGGAATATGATATTTGCAGGATATTGTGATACTTGCCGAATCCAAGGATGAAATGAAAGAAAGATTAGTGAGTTGGATAAATATCCTAGAAAAGCACGGACTAAAAGTAAACAGAAAAAAAAAGAAGTATATGGTGATAGAAGGAGATTAAACAAAGAGCATTGATGAAATGAATGGCAGATATCGGCAATTGAAAGCTGCGAATATATGGACTCCACTATACAAACAAACAGCACAATAGAGAAAGAGATAAAGAGTAAAATTAATCAAGGGTGGTTAAAGTGGAAATCTTTATCAGTAGTGCTCTTTGACAAAAGAATTACACACAAATTTAAGGGAAAAATTTACAGTTCCATAGTACAACCAACTATCCTACATAGTTCGGAAACATGGCCAACCAAAAACACCAGAAAAGTCTACAAACTATGGAAATGATAATGCTGAGGATGATTGCTGGGGTATCAAGAAAATTAAGGTGCGAAGTACAAGAACACTAGAAAGTTTAAAGGTACTGCCTATTAAGACTAAGAAAATAGTGAACAGACTTAGGTGGTAAGGCACACAATGAGAAGGCCTATAAACCATATAGGAAATAACGTTAAGAGTTTGAAAGTGATGGGCAAATATAAAAGAGGAAGGCCAAAACTTCAAAAGGGCCATAAAGTTAGAGCCAATATGAAGAAATATAAATTAGATAAAAGAGATAGTATGAATAACATTAAGTGGTGAGTGATATTGAAGAAGCTTACCACCAGAGAAGAAATTTTATACATGCTTGATTTTCAAAAAAAAAAGTTTTTTACTAACATTTATGAATTTTTATTGATGTAAATTTATTCTGTCCAATACTTTCACCCTACTTTATTCATCCAAAACTTTAAATTTTATCCAAAAATAACATTAAGACACTGTATTAATTAAAAATTTGTTTTTTTACAAAAAAATCCCTTTTTGTCAGAAAAATATTATAAATTTTACAATATTTTTAAAAAATAATTACCCTTTCCTCCATATTGACTTACTAGACATTTCAAATAGATAGCAGATTCTGTTGACTCCTCCACATATTGTTATGCCCACAGATATAGAATACTTGCACAATATCTTTGCTAATGTTTTAATATGTTCGTCATAAGAAGTTGATATTTTATTTATATGCATAATTTCATTGCAATAAAATTTTATTTACACCATAAATGTTAAATTTCACCCTAATCAATTTGAATTTTTATTAGATTATTGTTGTTCGTTGATGAAGCGGATGCTTTCCTCAAGAAACGCTCAAAAGTATGAAAAATGTTTCTTAACACATTTTTAAATTTCTTGATAATCATTTTCTTTGTGAGGCTGCGCTATAAATTTAGTGTGTACAAGATTATAGGAACGCTCTACTTAGCATTAATTAAAATTTTGAAAAATATAATCAAAAATGATATATATTTATAATTTTATGGGTTCCATTCAACGTCTACATGAATGAAGAGGGGGGGGGCAAATTTGTTTTTAGAAAGTAGGCATTTAAGTGGGTAAAAATAAACAATATTTGTTGATTAAGGGCCAAATATTTGGTAAAAGATGATGGGAAAAAGAAATAATAATATTTTAAATATAAATTAAAATATTAGCTGAAATAAATAATAATAATTAATAGCGACACCGGCCACGTTTACGGATTCTAATATATTGGGGTTGGCAAAGTAATTTTTACTCGAGGACTCGTTTTAAAATTTTTATAAATTTAAATCACAATTTATTTTTGCTGATTTTAATTTAATAATAACTAATATTTAAATTTGAGAATAAAATATATGAAAAAAAATAAATGAATATATTTTAACAGAAATAGATCCGATTGTCATATAAAGAATTGATGATATATATATTTAAATATACTATATCTTTTTTAAACCTACTATTCGATATCTATATTTTAGCTGTAAAGATGGTCATGAAATATTTTTTATTTAAACTTTGTGGAATTCCTTGATTCAATAACTGTTAGATCATACTTAAAATATAATTTTTTTAACTAATAAAATGATAGGAGGTAGAGAGAAATGCCAAGAAATTATTAGCAAAAACGCAGGACAGATAAAAGCAGGCGTTTGCAAAAACCTAGATATCGCCAAAGGAAGGGTAACATGTTACGGATTGCAAAGCAAATTGTAAAGACGTGGCAAAAAATGCTGATCCTTAACATTGAAATTAAGTATACTTGTAAGGCTGGATAAACTAATGAATGAAGAGAATGAATGTGATAATGAAATTTCGCAAACATCGAAGGTCCTAGCTGTAGGTAAAGCAAAGAATAAATTGAGAAAGTGTTGTAAAAGATGAAAAAAGGGTGGGTTTTACAAGAGTGGCAATAGGAATGTTCACGTGTTCTGAAGACCTGGAAATTGAATGGCTTACGAATATATGCAATCGAATAGTTACCCAATGAACTATTCTGGATGATTATTGAAGAAGTGTAATGATCCTAGTATACAATGGGAAATATGGTTTGCGAGTCTTATTGAGCAATTAAACTCTTGATGAAGGTATTTGAGAAGCGGATAAGGTAAGAAACGAAAATTGATGAAATTCAGTTTGCTTTATACCTGGTAAAGGCACAACAGATGCAATGTGGTGAGACAACTATAGGTAAACTATCTCGCAAGGGAAAGAAACGATATTAAGCATTTGTAGCTTGGTGAAAGCGTTTGACAGGCCTTTGGTAAAATCAGGCAGAAGAATGGCTCATTATGACAGTGATTACAATGATGCATGCTGAGATCATTATTATATATCCTATTAATCGAGGTGGCTAGAGAAAGGAGCAAAACTTCCGCGTATGAAATTGTATCGGTGGCAACCAGCGAGGGAGATCTCGGCTAAAATTATTAGGCTTGAAGTTGAATGTAGAAAATGCTAATGGGGGAGACACTATGCAGGTGGAGAAATACCTGGCCTTGTGGTGTATATGGAATAGTAGTTGATAGAAACTTGATCTAATTCACTAGCTTCTAAAATGGGTGTATAAAAGGTGTATTTACGAGAAAGGTAACCTGATGATAGAAAAAACTTTTATTTATCGAACATGTGAGAAGGAGGTCAATAATGATTATAGATAAGGGTGGGTTTGAATTCGGCATTGGATTATCTTTGGGAAAGTGGAAAAGTTGAAAAGTTTTATTATTTGGGTAACATTCTAAACGCTGAAGGAATGTTGATTCTGATGTGGTTGCAAGGGCTAGATATGCGTTAGTCTATAGTGACCAATCGATTTTTTTAAAATTTGGTAAGCAAAGAAAGGTTATTAGCCTCCTACTATTTATATTTTTGGTGATATATAACGACGTATTTTTACCATTTAAGGCCTTCATTCTATTAATTTATCATGAATACATAATTGTACATAACAAATTTAATATCTAAATTACGTTCACATATTATGCTGATATCTTTCTTTTAGAATTTCTGGCCATTTTATTTAATATATAAGAATTACAAACAATTTTTTGGAAATAATACACCTTTTTATTAAGAAATTTAGTAAACATTTCTTAACTGCTCTTATATTTGTAAAAAATATTGAGCAGTTTAGAGAGGCCCTATGCTGATTAAATGACATCACCAGTGGAGCTGCATGAATATGAAAAACAAAATATAAACTGTATCGAATTTAAATTCATAATACAAGGTACGAGTATGATGCAGAGGAACTTATCATTACTCACATTGAAGGCAAGACCAATCCTAAGAATCAGTGATTCCTCTTAGATTGTAACAAAAAGATATATTCGAGTGTGGAATAAACTAAATTAGAACAGTATGGAGATGCAAGTAATACATGGGTAAATGTATCTAGTTATGTGACATGCATATAAATAGGTGGTAGGCTTTGGCCATGAAGAAGAATGAGAAAATGGAATACCTTGCGGGCCGGGCCGTCTAAAAATTTTCCACAGGTATAAGTGACATTACATCTATCCAAGTCGTAAACTAACCATAGTTTCACCACAACAGAGTACTTACACACTTTTCCCACTGGAAAGTTTGCACCTAACCGAAAGATTAGAATGTATAAGTTAGCATTCTTTGATTTATGAAATCAGTATTCTAATTCATATTCCATTTTTTAAGAAATATGTGAATGCAACATGTCCTTTTCCCCTATTCTTACAAGATTAAAAAGATATAGACATAATATAAAACAAAGATTGAAAATTAATTATTAATAAAACAGTTTTTAATTAATTATATAAAAAGCATATTTTATAATTATTATAGAAATATTTTATAATAGATATATAATAAAATATGGTAAAAAATAGTTCTTATGCGGGATAGGAACATTGTAGATTAGTTATTATATATAAATATTCTTATAAAAACATTATTACGAACATTAAGTTAATTAAAATAAACCATCCATAGTATAAAAAAATATTTTTCATTTTTTTACTGATTTTTATCAATCTTGCTTATAAACTCGTAGAGGCTCCATTGGCTCCACTCTAATATTAATAGTAATGTTTATACAAAATTTTATTAAAGGACAATCGCAAAATAGGTAATTTTTCTTTTACCTTTGATATCTTTAGTATTAAAGCTAGTAGGCTAAAATTTTGCCTAAATATAGATTACATGAACCTTAGTCTTTATAGAATTAAATTGAAAGAGGTCATACATGTTATATATATTCATTTATTTTTTCTATTAAATTCGCATTAATATTCGAGTAATGGTTATATTTAATATTTGCAATTCTGTTAAATTTTAATAAAATTTAACTTCAATTTTATCCATAAAAATATGGAATTTCGTTCCTGATATTGTAAGCGCTTTATTGAATCTCTTCTAAAATTATTTGTTATTTCTCATACTCGTCTTCCATAATTTAGGAGAAATTTCTTGCCTTTATATTTTCTTTAGAATTGGCATTTAAATAGCCTTGGCCACTAAGTTGACTGTACCTCTGACTCCATCACATGCCGATTTACCGTGAGATGTGGCCCAGAAATGCCACTCAGCTTTTTTTCCGAAATCACTTTCATGATGGCAAAGATTGATTATATTTTTGCCATTCTTATATTGTGATGCTACTCCATCTGAACAGTAGAAGAATTTTTTTGTACGCTTTTAATCTGTTAAGTAGCGGACTAAATATTTTTGGAATATGAATGAGAGATTCCTATATAATTACGTAATTTATATGATTTAAATTTTAAAGTGTCGTGAATTAATCCCAAAAGGATTGGTAACTTTCCCTTTTCTATTAAATACTTGTACTTCATCTTGAACCAGAAAGTTATGATTTTCAGCAAAATCTGCCTGAACATATATTCTTCATTTTAAATCATATAAATAGAATTCATGTCTTAAAATGTTTTTGAGATATTAAAAATTAATTTTCGCACCTCTGAGGCTCTATTTCTCGGGAACCAGGGTGCTAGCGAGCTATAATAATAATAATTTTTTAACCGATTTCTATAATTCCAGTAATTTTTAAAAATTTAAACAGGAGTCACCCTAATATGGGCCTTTTTTGATCTATTTGACATGGAATTGCCCACTAGCGGGTAAAATAAACTTTATTCACTTTTTTTTAAACCGATTTTAATCATTCCAGCAAATTTTAAAAGAGGCCGGTAGAATCTTGATCTATTTGACATGGAATTGCAGAATTTCTTTTACTGATTGAATACTTTATTTGTTATTTTCAATTACAAGATGAATAATTCTTTAAATTATGTCAATATGTTAAGAAAAATCTTTAAAAACGGAAATATGTAATTTTAAATTTTTACCAATTTTGAGAAGGGGTCACCTGTATTTTTTGTCTATAATTTTAATAAAATTATGGACCTTGTTTCGGAACATGCCTAAAGTGTTGATAACGATTGGTATGAACCCTATGTTTTTGAGGACCATATTAGTTTTCTAAGGACTTCTGCTTTTCGATGGCAGAAAATGAGAGGTTAGACTTTGCTTCCAAATCTACACAAGTGTAGTAGTCACAGGTCAGTGGGAGACCGTTCGTCCAGGGGATAAGGGACATACCATCCGTGCATAGACGTTTTCATTTGAAAGGCTCACTGGTTCGAAATAGGATGGGATGTTAACTTTTTCAGGGCAGCTAGGAGTTGTTAATGTATTTATTAAGAAATTGCCGTCCGCGGGAGAACTTCCAATGCAAGAGATGGTAGGGATTCGATGCAAATACAGCAACTGCATTACAGCCAAACCAATGAGCCATGGATATGCTTATGTCACGAAACTGAGTTTGCATTTAATATTATGTTATTAGAGCTTTCCTCGAAAGGTCTGTTTGAAATGAGTAATTAACAGAACAGGCCATTAAAGGGGCATCCCAGTCCTTTTAAATGCAGGAGCCTGGACAACAGGAGGTGGGCAAGCTTTTGCTCTCCCACTTTCTTTCTTTCTTTCTTGGCCCGAGATAAGTCAGAATATATGGAAGTGGATACATTATGGATTATCAATATAGCGACTAGACGTGATGAAATAAAGCTGAAATTGGATACCGATATCATATGACTTGGTGAGAAGTGTGTCCTGAAACCAGGATGAATATGAAAATTTTATGTTTAATATAATTTCTCTTCTTGAAATTTTGGGAATATTTAAAAAGTTTTTAATATAAAAAAAGTGGATTGATGTATAATAAGGTAATTAAATAATATGCTTAATTTTGACAAATTGCCTAGGGTTTTGTTTAAAAAAATTTCGATACCTTTTTCTCCCTCTATGGGTGATCCGAGATGCATCATCTCATCCATGTTGATGACATGGTAGGAAGTGTCTATGGATTGGATGTAGGATTTAGGAAACATATCTCACACTTAAGGTTGATTGAGTGAAAAACCTGTAATATGTAAGAGTTTCTCGATTTTGAGTGGGTTAGACAGTATTGATGAAAGGTTACCAGTGATGCCATCGAGATACCAGATATGAATAGATAGCATAAGTTTAAAGATATCGTTCTTTTTTTTTAAAAAAATACTCTAAATTTTATTATTTAAATGAGGATTTTTTTATAATATATAATATTTTATTAAATCTCTAACCATAAAAGAGTGAATCTAATAAAATTAAATCTTCACATTAATATTTAATAAAAAGATGTAATTAGAATTTAACTCGCTTTCCCATGTTTTTGAAGAAATCATCCATCCACTTGCCCCTTTATTTAAAAATTTTGTTTAACCTACCCACCCATTTTAATAAATTTTCTGATTAGTTCGTTTGGCTCTTTATTTATTTTAATATATTTTTGCAAAATATGCGCTATTTTAAAATAAGATAAGTTAATTTAACAAATGAACCGTCCTTTTTAAAAAATAGAAATAAAAAAGTTTTTTTTTTGCTATTTTTTTTACAATTGACAAAAATTTATTATGTTTTTGAAATGTTTTGAACATATTTTTAAAAAATAATTTCAGCCCCCGTAGACATTCTGAGCCTAGTACACAATGGCGCTGAAAGAAATCTAGCCATTCATAATAATGATATTAGATAGTATTAATATTATTACAAAATAATATACAATTTAAAGAGTTCCTATCATAAAATTTTTATTCCCTAGCGGTAAGGCATTGACCTTAAAAATCTAACTAGGTACCTTTTTTGATTGATCTATAATCAGTGAGTAAAAATATTTATACTATATATAAAATTTTAATAAATTTATTGTTGTGTTATTTGTCATTTCCCGATTTATATTATAAGGTCCCCAAACATATGTAAATAATTAACGAAATTTATATATTAATAAAATAAATTTGAAACGGGGCATTCATTTTGTCAGGAACAGAAACTTATTTGTTCCTCGCCCCTGTAATTATTTATTTTCTTTAGAGATTTTATTCTAGCTCATAAACTTTAAATAAGTCGCATGCCACCTAATTTTCAAACGGCGGGTTTGTGACAGTGATACCGCTATGTTTTTTAACTAATTATATTTTAACAAAGTTTTTAATTTTAATCAAAGGTTATTTTTTTCATATAAATGCCATTTTAGCAAATCGTTATATAACTCGGTTATACATATTATTGAATAAATTGAAAAAGGAAATCATTAGTGAAGATTTGCGAAGCTCTTTGAACGCGTTTCTATATAGAACCGGTGAACATTCTAACAAGTAATATCATTTTTACAAAATAAATTTAATAGCAAAAAGAATAAAAGAATATTGTAGTTAAATAAACCTTATAAAAGGATTTTTAGACTAGAAAATATACATGCCGCGCTGTTGATTTTTATTATCATTATTTTTAGATTTATGCTCGTGTTGGCTAGCAACACTCCCGAGCAATTCGATTGGGCTATTAACGATAGAATTGACGAAATGCTAAAATTTGATAATCCTGGATTGCTGGAACGGGAAAGAATGGTTTTAGCCTACTTTGATAAATACATTATCCAGACTTGTTTAAATAACAAGAGAAGGTATTTTTATTTATATTTGTTTATCTATATTGTTTAAATATAAAGGAAACTGAAGTTAGCTGACTTTGATCACGTTAAGAAATGTGGCGAGATAGCCGTCAGAACCCAAGGGCTTTCTGGCAGAGAAATCTCAAAATTTATTGTATCCTTACAAGTATATATAGGAGATTTTATCATATTCTTGTTAATTTTTCCTTATTAATTGATAGTTTTATCGAATAGAAATATTAGATATTTCTATATGCAGTTGAACTTCGGTATAACGTTCTCTAGGATTTTACCTTTATTAAATTTCTATTCCCAATTATAATATAAATTTTTCACACATAACATCTCCCCATTTCCGCATTAATATTAATCCGCATATAATTATATTTTATCCCTTTATAAAATTAAGCAGTAAATTTAATTATTTTTTTTAATATAAATTTAGGTATATTTACGCAAATTTTGTTCAAATATACAAACACATTTGAAAAAAATTAAACAAATTAATACATTCACATATGCAGAGCGTCGAACAGGACATTAAAAAGCTAGCCTTTAAATTTTAAAAATATCAGAGATCTGCAAGTCCGGACCAGGCCAGAATCCTCTTTCGATGAACCTATTTCTATAGTTTTAGATCTAATTGTTAAATCTGGGTTTTCTGAAAGATTTTTGCAAAAAAAATGGATCTCTGATGTAGCAAAGCACCTTATCGCATTATACAAAGATCTACCCTGGCGTTTTTTAAATCTCCGAGAATTAACGGTATCCGATGCAATTAAAAGTGCTGGAAGCCTAAATCACTTTAAAGCCTTTAAATAATACAATATATAGCTTATATAGCCATTCTAACAATAATCTACAGGCGTTGGATTAAATAGCGCCTGAATTGGGCATTCAGTTGTTTAAGATTGGAATGGTACTTGATATATGATGAACTTCTAGCAATCTTCATACTGTTAGTTTGGAATATTATGAGGTCTTGTCAACGCATATCGAAAATCCCACAAATTCTAGCAACAGCAAAATATATCGGGCTCTCCATCCAATTAGAATTTTATAAACGCGAAACATTACTCGTTACATTAAAAATATTTTATTATATATATATTACATTTTTTCAAATTTTATAATTAACTTAAGCTTAGTTTTTAATTAAGATCAACCACCAATTTACTTCATTTTTATCTTATTACAATTTTGTTGTTAAATTTTATACAGTCATCATTATTATTTTTATTATTGTTAATTTATATTCTATAATATTAAAATTTTTATAAAATATGTCAATACTATTTATTTCTTCAGATGAAAATGGCTTAACGTCCCAGCATGAAACATTTTTTTTACAATAAAGAAAATTAGGGGCTCTAAGTATAATTTGTATGTGTAGATTTAATTCAAATATTTCAATCTCGATGTCCAACAGCTCAAATCTAAAAATAACTTGGAAATAAAAATACGAATTCAGATTAAATTCTGATGAAGATAAAAAAAGGAGGATGTGATCTTGTGAAGATTATCTAATAAGAAAATAGAGATCAATATTTTAAATAAATTCCCTCAATTAATATTTTTACCTATTAAATATGATACAACCTTCCCATCCTCTGCGCCATTATAACATGTGTTCAGCATAGCGAAAGCTATGCTGAGCAATATGTCAAGAACATATCTTATAATATATTATTTTTGAATAATTTTATTTTTAATATCTATGGGGAGCGTTCTTTTTTTCACAAAGTAGCGAGTAACGGTAACGCGCTTCTTTTTTGAAGGAACGTTTACAGCACTACTTGTAATTGAGGCAATCACTTCTTTTTATTATTTCAAGCCAGAATAATTAACCTGGAGACGACTTTATAATCTTGTTATAAATGAAAAAATTATTAAAAGTGAAAATATGGCACGTAATACAAAACAAGAGCGATAATAGACAGAATACAAAAAAATATCCCTACGAATGATTAACAAAACAAGATATTTTTACATAATGAGAAGATAGAAAACGAGAACCTGAACTCTACCTATTAGGAACAATAGCAATGTTTGTCCCATCTCTACTACAGGTTTCGATTGTAAGAAATTTCAGAATTCAAATATTCTATCCCAATAGAGAACAAATTATTTATAGAACTTTATATAGATAAAACATCTTTTATCGAATCTAAACCTTTTTTAAAATTTCAATCTCCGAACCTATATAATTTTTTATTCCTGGAATCTTAATCAAACTTATATATAAATAAAATACATATTCGTTATATAACGTTTCGCTCATAGCTTTTAAAAATTGTGCTCTTGAGAAACGTTATATGGAGTTATACTGTATTTGTAAATGTTAATATATAAAAAGAATGTTAAGATTCTTCAAATAGATTTTAAATATTTTTGCGAATAAAGTTGTTTTGATAAATGAACACTTTTAGGCAAGTTTATTCGCGTCCTTAGATGGTATCCTTGCCGAACATATAATCGACGAAAGACTAAATAGTACTCTTGACCAGCACAAAAAAAAATTAACATGGATAAATCAAAGCTGATAATCACAAATTATATATTTTTCAAAGAACTATAAAAATTTCGTTATTTTACAATACTGTCATACATTTTCATATTTTATATAAAAGATTCTATTTGAATATTGATGATCAATTATGAAATAATCATTTAGGAATTTGTTACAAAGCTCCTATTTTTTGTTAATTTTTATGTTATTTTCTGCATTATTAATTTTTTGTTATCTAACCAAACGATATGAATATAAAAGTAAATAAAATTTAAACATGTCATCCATTTAAATATAAACATAATATTTTTAACATATAAAATAGAAATATTATATAATTTGGTAATATCTTCTATCTATTATAAAATATTAAGTGCACATTTTTTAACACTTAAGTAAAAACTATTCCATTATTCGGCATATTCTTGAAACGTCATTGCTATATGCTTCTATCCATATCTCGTTGTGTCTTTCAAACATTTTAGATGGTCTTTTATAAAATATTTTATATTTAAAATTATAAATGCATATATTTATTTTGCTAAATTTGGTTATACATTATGTGCTATAATGTTATAAAAACGATTACGCTATTACGAACGATGACTTCGATTCGCTAATTCGCAGTTTTTAAAAAAATGATTATTATTTTAATATGACATGAAAAATTTGTATAATTATATATACAAAGTATATTATACTCACTTTTATCGTTATGATAAGCTAAGATCAGAGTTTAGAATCGGGAGAAATCAAGTAATCAAAACTTGAAACCCTTATTTAAAATTTATAAGAACCAGAACTTATTTATAAATTTCTCGGAACTGGCTCAAATAAAAATTTATATAAATATTATTTAAAATGTTTCATTAGTGGGTTTATATATTGTTTTGATTGATTTATCCAAGTTTGGAACCAGAACCTGCACACTCATAACCGCTTCAATTTAAAAGGTGGAGTTAGAATACCAAAATTTTAAGAATTGGAACCCATTTTGGTCTTAGTTTCAAACTCTGGCTAAGATAATTTAAAATCTATATTGTAATATATTATTCATCTTCACTAAATAAATAAATGAAAAAACAACAAATTATATCCACATTTTTTATTCCTTGTCAAAACACACTAGTATTGGCTAATTCATCAGTTTTCATAATTGTTCTCTTCTCAACCTTTTCATGGTAAGTAATTGATGATTAATAGCACATTTTGATTTTCTAAAATGGTCATTTCTGTTTCAAATATTTCATTAATCAAATTATACACCTGCCAAAAAGATGAGGAATAAAAATTATTAAATACAATGCCTTATACATATTAACCTCAAATTCAAACTGATATCTATTATGGCCGAAATGTTGTTGGAATCTATCTTAACAAATTATTACAAAATCCAGATGCCGTTTTTATCTTAAGGCTGATGAAACAAAAGGATGCAACGGATTGCGAAAGCTCGGCCGATTAATAGAGAATATAAATAAATTATTCTAAAGCCTAATTTTGTTATTTTTTATTTTGGTTATAATTTTATTGATTAAATGACCTGCTACTACGATCATTCATTTACAAAATTGATTTCATTTTTTATAAATTTTGTGTATATTGCTTTATTAAAAAAATAATTAAACCAAAATCCTTATAATTATTAGTTATTTTTCCATAGATATATTTCAGGATTTTAAAAAAGCGGGGTATAAACCTTATTAAAAAAATTGCATGGAGCCCGGTACAAATTTGCCCAGGCCGGGCAAAAATAACATTCCAACTGGGTTGGGTCTGAAAATTTTGCCATTTGCAAACCTTTAATGCACTTTCTTTCTTTATTAAGTGACATTTTTTTAATAATTTATATTAAAATATTCCTGTAATTTTTGTTTCAATTTAGTAAATCTATTCTACAATGTTTTAGGCGTTTTAACATATCCTGTAAATATACAAGCCATACACTTAAGAGACTTTTAGATCAGATATTTATTGGTCATTTTAAACATTTCGTATCATTTATGAGAATTTTGAGACGATTGAAGTATTTTACTTTTTTAATAGGACTGGTTTCCATTAATGACAGTCAAAGGCTATTGGTATTTTGTGTCAATGCTTAAATTATATTATATTTGCCATTTACAAAAATTAGAATGTATCTTCAGACATTAATATGGTCTATATATATATATTAATAAAATAAAAGATGTGAAAACTCATTCGACTTTATAAAGAATAAGGCTGAAATCCTTGTAACAAAATTTAATATAACCCCCGAAAAATCCTCAAGGATTCATAAAACGCCTAAAAATTTTGATTTTTTTTATTGAAATTTGCTTGTGAAAAAAACTCAATTGGAGTCTAAAAGAAAGTTATAAATAAACGGTTTTTCGAACACCAAAGAATCAACTAGAAGTTAAACGAAAGCAAATTTTAATGCGGCTTATGAAAAAAAAAATTCATAACTTGGCTTTTAATTTATTAAATTATTTTAATTGTTCATCAAATTTTCAATAAAAATTATATTAAAACATTTCTATTTATTTTGTTTCAATAAATATTGACCACCCCAAATGAACTGTTGCTTACATCAACTGAAAATTCATGGCTACCAGCCTGAGTAATTATAATTCATAGATATTTTTTGCCTTAAAACTAAAAAATAAACACTTGTTTTGATTTTCAAAAAGTAGCTCTATTTGAGTTTAAAAGAGTTATATAAATTAATGAAATTAAAATTATCTCTTCTATTAAAATAAATTTATAACATGTACTGCTGTAAAATAACCGTGATGCGATGAAAGTAACGGCGTTACTTTTTGATAAAAAGAAACGCCATTTGTTACTGATTTTTAAGGTAACATGTAACACGTTTTTTTGAGTAATGGTAACAAAGTTGTTTTAAATTTTTTCTTGAAAAATTTATTTTATTATATATTATAAATTTTATTAATAATTTAAGCCAAGGTTTTAATTCACATCAAACAGCAAAGTTTTTTTTATTTATTACATTTTTTAAAACTTTTTATCATATTATTTTTATAAAAAATTTATATTTATATCAGAAGTATCTTGCAGCCCGATCTGGATTTTCTTAATATATTTCATTTATTTTTAATTTTTATAGCTAATAATGAGGATTTAAAATACCCGGCTTGGTTCGGGAATTAAAAAAAATTTTAAGGCCCGGCCTGGGTATATTTAAAAAATAAAATATATTTAAAAGAATATATATTATTAATTAAAAATACATTTAAAAGAAAATATGTTATTATTAATTAAAAATTTCGACTATTTGAGTTCCCAAAAAGGAGCAGTAGTTATATCGGCACATTTCAAGTTAAATTATTTGTACGATATAAAAGAATTTATTGTTGGTTAAATGCCTGATTTTAAGGCCTAGGGCTTTAAATTTATTTAGAGTTTTAGACGAAAAGTAGCCTTGTGGATATGGATATTGGGGTAAATATAAAATTACTAGCTAATAACCCGTCAAGAAAGACGGGGTTGAGGTGTAATTAGTGTTTGCGTATCACGTCAATACCGCGAAATGCATTATCGCGAATGTTGATTACCACGAAAAGATATTAAAGCGAATGCATCATAGCGAAAATAGTATCGCGAATGCGTTACCGCAAAACATCGCGTATGCATCATAGCAAAGACATTAGCTCGAATGCATTACAGCAAAATTATTAATGCGAATGTATTATCGCGAATGCATTATAAATGCGATAACGCGAATGCAATATAGCAAATGCATTACAGCGAATGCATTATCACATATGCAATAGTGATTTATATTTGACAAATGGTTGATATAATTAATATATTTTGCTACTTATCCACTTACTTTCTAATAAAGTTCATCATTATCGGAAACCTTTGTTACATTTTGGAAGTTTCTGGCCGATAATATTTTTCCACCGATTTCTTTTTCTTTAAGGAAATTCTTTAGACTCTTTAATTATATTGTAACTCATTTAGCAAGTTCAGACCTTTTTCAAAAATCAGCCTAATTGACGTTTTTATATTTATTTGTCACGTTTTAAAATTTTTTATAACTCTAAATCACGTCACTTGCTATTTATGAAATTACATATTTTATTAAAAGATACTAGGAATTTAGTATCCTCAATTTTTGTTAATAATTAGGTTATGTCGTTTTTTAGAAAATTTGAAATACTAATATTTGACAAAAATATTTACTTTTATTTATTCAAAATTGGGCTAGACGTGTTCCCATATTAATCTATAGCCGGGCGCCCGCCTTTTTTTCAAATTTTTTTCGTAATTATAAATTATAATGCAAAACACAAATATACTTTGAGATCCATAAATTATTAGAATAATTAATGTAATTAATCTATTTTCTTGTATAACACCTAACAATAAACGCCAATTTGATTATTTCCTGCTAAATTAATAGCCATATTTTACCAATTTCTCTTTCAAGTTTGTAAGATAAAAGATTGTAGCCTATTTGATAATTTTTCAGTTTGTGGCACCCATATGAGGTCTCTTTAAAGCTTTTTGAACTGGACGAATATTCCACTTTTTCCTAGAGAATTCAAGAATTAAACTTCATTCTAATTTTTCTTCTCGTGGCATAATTTTATCATAAAATAATTTACAAAATTATCGTATGTTTATAGTGTTAGTGGCATTTAATAATGAGATTTGTTTGATAATACCGAAATATTTTGTGTTATAGTGTATGATTTAGGATAAATTTTTAAAAAGATGAGTGTCCGACTAAATTTTTTCATTTTCTAAAAACCGACTTTATAAAATTTAAAATATTTTGAGAATTCTAAGACACAATAAAATAGGATATTTCATTCGTTTCCGAGTTATAAAGATTTAAAAACGCGACGTTTTTTAGTCATCCGGTAAATAATCTAAATTTTTGATCTCATGATCAACTTTCTTCCAATAGTAAGGACGGGACTAAGGCTAGTTGGCGTACTTCTTAAGAAAGTTTAATTTACATAAAAAATTATGAAAATCTTCATATAAATTAAAGTTTCTTCATAAGTTTGTCATAAAATTGTCTGAAATTTATAAGTAGTGTTATTAGCCTAAAAATCGACTAAACATAATTAGGCTTAACCGAAAAATCGCCTAAAACTAATATGACAAAAAGTAGCGATTGGGAGCTCGGCTAATCGCCCATCAGCGTTACGCAACACAGCCTAGCCTTAATTATTATTTATTCATTATTAAAATTATTCATATATAATTATTTTATATATATTATGTAACGATATATTAATGAAGGACGATTTGTCTAGCTCCTTAGCCAATGCCTAATTCTTGACTAATTAGTTTTCGCCTATTTTTCTGCTAAGCCTAATTAGGCCTCGCTTTGGAATTGGCCAAAATTAACCGATTACGCAACATTAAGGGTGGGTATTCTACACTTATTGAGTGCATTTCTGGCAAAATCAAATTTTTAAATTTATTAAAACGTACTCAATTAATGATTTTAAATGCAAATAATAACAAAAAAACAATACCCATCAAACTATCGCTTTACCAAAATTAAGTTTAGTTAAAAGATCACTAGAATACTGTCTAATATTCACAGGATAGGCATGGAAGACCAGGACTTGTTGGATCAATTTCTGTCACAATCATAGTCTGAAAATAATTGTATCTGAATTTACAAAATACTAAATAATAGTTCAAACCCTACCTATAAATTATACATTGACAAAACTTAATATAGTATACTTTTTTCTCAAAATTGTGGCCTTGTCTTTTTAAATAAACAATAAGAGAACTTTATACAAATTTATTATCAAAAAATGCATATCTAGTCAACACTAAATCCCTATTAAAGCATATTTTGTCAAAGAATAATATAAATGATTTCCGATAACTAATTATCTGTTTGACTCAATGTTTTAAATAAGACTTTTCTTAGCGCCTTGCAAATTAAATTTATTTCAGCCAAATCTCTATCCAAAATCTTTATTTATTTTTAGGCCCGAGAGTGTCCTGTCCCAAATTTAATTGAAAAATATAACTAAACGCCTATTTAACAATCAATTAATATAAAAATAATTCCTTTACAGTAATCCTATAGAAATCTATTTTCTTTCTTAGAATCTTTTTTATATATTTTGAGTCAATAAAAATTTAGCCCTATTTTTATTTTCAAAAAAAATATATTTATAGACCCAAGCCCAACTTTAACTTATTTCCAGGTTCAACTAAGTCTGTCTAAAGACCGATAAATATAAAATTGTAATTATCATCAAACTCCATACCCAATTGCAATTCATTTAAGATGATGTATTTGCCATAATGCATTCGCGATCATACATTTGCACTAATACATTTGCACTAATGCATTCGCAATAATAAATTCGCTTTAATATTTTCGCGATAATTCATTCGCTATAATATATTCGCGATAACACTTTCGCGGTATTACATTCACACTAATGCATTCGCTATAAAATTTTCGCTGCATTATATTTGCTATAATGCATTCTCGATATTATATTAGCGATAATGCATTCACTATAATATTATTTCGCGGTAATGCATTCGCGTTAAAATTTTGCGGTATTGACATGTAACCATTAGTTTGTGTATATTGTGCTAAATATACTTTATTATTATATTTTATAAAAATATTAAAATTTAGGAGAAAAAGAGGCAAATTTGTGAATCAATCACACTTCATAAATTCTTGATTTAAAGTATGATGATCCGTCTTTCTTGATGGGCAAAATGAAAAATATACAACTAAGAGTACCAGATGTCCCGTTAGTCGGCATTGCTGAGTCCTTCATAAATAACGGGGAATGAGAATTTCCTCCTTACTCTTATGATAGTTGTTACCTGTTATTTGGAAATAATATCCAATTTTTATTCTTTATAACCACTCCCCCCCCCTTCAGGCCAGGTTCAATCCATTAAAACTAAGTGTAAATGCTATGTTTTGAGTCAAAATATATTTACAAGCTTTTACTTGATACCCATATCAATATTATTTGTTAAAATATTACTGATCACCTATACCTAATATTTAATATTGAAAAAATTCCCAAGCAAGGTCCAAGGTCATAATATTTTTGAAAAAATTTACCCATCCCCAATTAAAGATAAAAATTTTGGTAGTTGAGAACTGGAATAAAATATGGGCCTTGATTTTTTGATCCCGAGCCTGCAAAAAAAAATTTTTTTAGGTCAATGTCTGATCCATAATTAATAATAAAAATTCCCGAGCATCCAGATTTTTCCCCAAGCCCAGCCCAATATAATTTATAAAAAATTTTTCCAAGCCCAACCCTACCCCTTATAATTTAAAAAAATTTTTCTCAAATCTGGCTAACCGATATTAATTTTGAGATTTTTTTCTTAAGCCTGGAGCTTCCAACAAAATATAGATATATAACAAGAATTGTATTACAAAATTTAAGATAAAAGGGGGCTGAGTTGGAAAGAACGTTTGCCTATGGAACGTTAAGTCTGGGGATCGAAGCTCGTTGATGTATAAAAAAATAATTTAACATTAGAGGTATGTCTTGGATTTATTAACATTAAGATGAAAGGAAAGTTGATGGAAAAAATAAAATTAACATTAAAATGATAGGAAAGTTGATAGAAAAAATAAAATTAAGATTATACGAAAACGTTCTTGATTACGGAGATTATATAGATTGTGATATTTCTATTTTTTAACCATTTTTTATTTAACTTTTGTTAATAAACTTATGCCTATGTTAGATGGAAATGAGAAACAAATAAAATCTTATATTAACAATTTACCAAGGGCCCAGGAATTTTAGTCATTCCATCTGGTCTTAATCCATTTAAGGAGGATAGGTGGTAGGCTCAAAATGGTTAGGTATGTGAGCGGCTGTTGAATATTTATTGATGGCATGATTTGTTGAAGTGGGGAGTTGATGCTTTGATTATATAAAGAAATTAGGTTATGTCTGCCTTTTGAATCTAATGGAGTATTACTACGATCAACACATATTTTTTAATATCCTAACGAGAAAAATCTTGACCGAACAAATAGTCAATCTTTAGTTTGAAGAATTAACTTGGCTAGGTGCCACCCTCTCTACCAAAGCTGGTGGAGTAGGAATACGATCACTTTACCTACTCTCCGTTAGGACCTTCATATTTTCGCACTTATCAAGGGATCCAATCATCAGCAAATTAACGACCATCATATCCTCTACTCTTTCACATCGATCTTTAAAGGTCCTCTTCCTTAGTCGATTCTTCTTCAAACTCTTTGCAGAGAAATTAGGATTTACCCCTATTTGGCAACTCCTTCGCATTTCATAAGTGGAGAAGTTAACCTATGGAACATTACCTTTTCTTTTCAACTTCATAAAGATGTTGTCTTGAATTCATTCCTTCATATTACTTACAATTGATGAGCTACGTCATTTACTCTGTCAGTATATGTAGATTTCTAAGGCACTCAAAATAAAATGAAACTATATCTCATGTCTCAAAGTTTCAGTAATTACTTTAACTCTTGTGCTGACTAGACTTTACAACGCAGATGGTACATCCTGATAATTCAATGGAAGAGTGGTAAGTTCTTAATTTGCGACTTTTTATGTGTAGATTCACTCGCACCCTCCAACCTAAACCATGATGTTATTGTCAACTCAGAACGAAGTAAATCTCCCAAATATTCTTCTGTTTTACCTTCTAACCATGTATTCATACTAACATTGCTATAATGTTAACTTCCTTTGCAACTCACCCCTCTCTTTCTATGGCATTACATCAAAGACCAAAAATTCCAAAGAAGGCTTTTACCTTAGCAAAGAATAACAATTTATATAATTCGAGCTAACTACATCAGTTTTATATTCTCCGTTGATATATAAAGAATCAATTTCATATTGAGTTTTATTCATTTACTTATCGTTTGGTATTATTCAGAGATCGGCAGAAGTACTATTTTCACGGCCAGGCCGGTTTTTTATTCTCTTAGGCACGGTCTGACCCGAGTTTCATATCTTCAGGCCTGGCCCGGATTTTTTTAAAGAAAAAAATTTCGATCTGGCCCTAGTTTTTTTAAATATATTATATTTATTTAATTTTTATGAATAATGTATATTATTACCAAACGATTAATATAATTCAGCAATTGTAATGAAACAATTTGATATGCAAATTATATTAATTAAAAAAAGATTGCCAAAGGGAAATAATAATAGGAAAATTTAAAAAGTAAAAATGTAAGGAGAAAATAGTAAAAAAAACTATTATGTTGGATGCGGGAAAAATGAAAATAGACATAAAAATTGAGAATTAAAGAAAATTGACAGGGAAGATAAATTATTTTTAAAAAGACAAGATCAAATAGGAGAAGAAAAAAATAATTGAGAAGAGATTAAAAATGACATAAAGATATCGCTACGAGTTATAAATAAAACAAGGAGGAAAATTTTAAATAATTAAAATTTTTAAAAAAATCATATTTCTGGGATATAAAAATGGCATTAAAAAATGATAATTTTTTAAAAAAATTCCCGTTTTTGAATGTGAATTTTCTTTTTTTGATTGAGACTTTTCGTTTTTTGATCGAACCTTTTCCCAAGTCTTTGGTACTTTTTTTGATGGTCACTTTCATTTTTAATCAGACTTTTTTATTTTTGATTGCCGCTATTCCTTTTTTGATTGGAACTTTTCTCAACTATTTCTTTTTTGATTGGGACTTCCTAATATGGAAACCCTGTAATTAATTTTTTGAAAAGTATTCTCAAAATATATTAATTTATAAGATGAAAAGCTTTTCAAAATCATAAGGGTTATCTTCAACAATTACAGGGGGGGGGGGAGGGGGGTTGTTATTATGGGATATTGGTTCTTAATTTCTACTAAAGGAATTTTTATAGAACTGCAAAACTCTTCCATCTATCTTGTACACCTTTTAAAGACTATTTAATAAAAGATTTTCTAATTTTTAGACTATGATTGCAAAGCAAATCAGTATTTTAGCTTGAATTAATATCGAAATAAAATGATATAAAATAATTTTCAATATCTGATCTGTTTCAATAGACATTGGATTTGAGTTGCTTATTTATTTAAAAGGTTACGGAAAATAAAATATGTTTGAAATTTTTAACAAAAACGTTGTGTTTAATAAGCATTGTTGCCTTTATTACCTGTAGAATAGGTTTTGTAACTTTGCTAAATAAAATAGAAAACTTTTGAATTACGAACTTTTTGGAAAATAAAAATTGATACTTTAAGAAAAAAATAAACTTTTTTAAATATCAAATAAAAATAAATTCAATAGCATTTTTGATTATGGTAGAAAACAGCTTCAAATGTTAGTGCCTATTACTGGAAGGGCTGGCCCGCCCGAGGTATTTTTAAAAATTATAATGGACCGGGGAAGCATATAGCACCAAAATAATTTTGGATTGGGATTTATACATAAAAAATCAGATAAGACTTCTCAGATGTCTTATCTGATTTTTGATAAAATTTTTACAAGTCATTATTAAAATTTTGATATATTTTTTTGAATTTCAAACTAATTTTGATTTAATACTATTTTAAAATAATTATATTTCTTTATTTTATAAGAGCTGTCTTAAAATACTTATAAATAATATAGTAAATTAACAAAAAAAACCAAACAATTTATTTATCATATGATCCAATTACAAATACACAATGAAAAAGTGTCAATCAAAAGGAGGAAAATCGATTTTTCTTTCCTATTTTTCTAACTTTTTGCGATCTCTTTAGGATTTTTAATCTTTATATTTTTTTTACCATTTCTAATTATTGATCATTTTTTTTGCCTTTTTAAGAATAATTTATTTAGTTTCCTTTATTTTCTTTACTTCTCTATTTTAATGTCCTTTTTAACAATTAATTTTCCGCTTTTTCATCCTACTTAACAATTTTATCATTTTTTTCTTATATTTTTACTTTTTAAAATTTACTTAATATTTATTTCTCTTTGGCAATCAAATTTTTTTTAATTAATATTTTTTGGCCCTAATAATTGACGCGATAAAAAAGGATAGTAACATAATTATAGCATCTTGTTTTAAAATAAACTACCTGTGACAAATATAGAATACTCCCTTTTCAAAAATGGAATAAAATATAGTTTACCCAAAAGAAGCTGACGTGAATGCAGAAATTAAATCAAGAACAGGAAGAATATATATTAAATTGTATAAATTTGGATTGCACTTTATCCTTAAAAAAGTTATGTGAAATAATAAAAGAGAGGCATGATGTAGGAATATCAAAAAGATTTAGGTATAGTCTAGCATCTTTTCCATTTAAAAATTAAAAATAATTATTTTTAATTTTAACCCTTCAATATGAGACCTCCAGTCTTGCTAGAACCAATATTACATAAAAAAGGGTAATTATTATGATCTGGTAGTGGCGTCATCAAATATATCTCAGAATCTATATTCAAAATTTCATATATTTTGGTTGATTAGTTTTTAAGATATAAGCAATTTATGACTGATTGGGATTTGTGAGACCACACCAGAGTTAATATGTAATTTTTTTTGACTTATACTTATCTTCTTTTTCAAATTATTTTTATCATTTATTATGATTCAAATTCTGAAAGTAAATATAACAAATTATTTAAAATATAATATCATTTTTCATATATTTGAGTTGAATATGATAAAATTATTATCATTTCAAAGAAAGAAAAGGATGTCATAATGCTACCAACTTTCCACCATAAAATATTTTTTGATACAAACAAATGACCCAAGTAAATCTGAAATTATAACATTTTATAATATGACTAAAAGTAGGTTAGATATTGCATTGATTGAATGACAAAAAATTATTCTATTTTAAGAAGATTATTTTACACACTTCTAAATATAATTTAATTCACATAATATATCAAACACAAAAATATCATATAAAAAATTATGAATGGAGCTTATTAAGACATATTTAGAAATACAAAAATAATTCTCAGATTGCCCTGACTTTTGAAGGAATCTAGTTGCAATATATTAGGCAAAGAACAAAATAGAAATCTTACTCACTCAAGTGGAAGGTGTAGTATGTGTCCTAGAATAAAGATAAGAAAACTATACATTTTTGCCAAATATGGAAAAAAAGAATTATGATCAGAGCATATAAATGCTTCATGTGATAAATGTTTTTCATATCAAAATTAACATATTTCAATGTCCTTTATTTTTTTTATGTTTAAATATATTCGTGCAAATCTTGTTTTATATTGAAGAATAAATATCAAAATAATGAATTATAATGATGATATGAAAGACAAATTATTTTTTTAAATTAATATTTGAATTAAAAAAATAGTAAGCTTTTTTTAGAAAATTTTGGCACAAGTTATAATTATCCTCATCATCTTTCTAAGCATAATAAATTAAAATAAATAATCATTTTATAAGTTTAAGGTTAGTTCTATCTTATATCCAAATATGAAACAAAAATAATGAACACAAATGGCGATATATACATTTGAAATTGGGTTTATTTTATTAAACTCCTCTAGAGCATTTGTGTAATTTTTTTCACCGGAGTATTGAAGGGTTAAATAGTGGTAATAATTACCTCTATTTAAATATATTACCTGCCGAAACTATCAGCAATATAAGATTTTCAATCTAATTTTTGGATAGTTTAAATTTTTTCAAAGGGAAAAAAGATGAGGAAGATTCGGATAAACATAATCCATTTTATTGATATTCTCATTAAAAAAATTAGAGAAATTATTTCAAGATATCGAGTAGCTGATTTGGAATATGAAATTGAGGATGAGCATGGTGTATGTCGGCAGTCAATTTATGAGACAGGGCATATCTTGGATATTGATGATTCTGATCTATACTTTGCTGACCATTTTGATATGTCTGATGAATCGGATAATAGAAATGGCATTACACTAACCAATCTAATTAATCCAAAAACTTTAAAATTAAATTGCCCTACCCGCTGGCACAGCATATTAATTATGCTAGAAAATGTTCGCAGTGTAAACAAAATTCCTATAAATAATGTTCTAAATAAAATAAGAAAACAATCCATAAAACTCTTTAATAATGAATGGGATATGATTGAGTTCTAAATAAAATAAGAAAACAATCCATAAAACTCTTTAATAATGAATGGGATATGATTGACGAGCTTTACGCAGTAATGAATCCCCGAGAGTAGGTGGAATTTCTTTCCTCTCAAAAGGGATCGAATAAATTTAGGGTTATTATTTCGCTGTGAAATAGAAACCCTACAAAGCAATAGATCTAATTGCTCCGATATTATTTGCTAAAATAAAATATGAAAAAAAGCTTGAGCATAGGTTTCCCATTACTGAACTTCAAGTTATTTTATATTTTTATTAATAAAATTATTTTTTAAACATTAGATATTAGCGACTCTATTTGATCCCAGATTTCAAAATCTTTAAATTATTTCAGAATATTTAAATTCGAATTTTACGACATCATTGCAATTTTTAATTAGACTTTTAAAACTTTTAGGGCATGATAGAAATGCACAGAATGATATTCAAGTTGAAGATAATGGGCAAGCATTCAGTTCTTATATAGCTAAATAGCTCGAAAACATTCCCTTCCAAAGCAACGATTATAACATTAGTAATATAGGACAAGAATGCCACATTTTTCTCAGCCAACATAATATCCCAGAAGAGGATGCACATTAACCTTTTGGAAGAAAAAGCGACGGAAACTTCATAGGCTTGCTAATTTAGCTAGGAATGTTTTTTGTATACCTTGCCACCAGTACACCCAGCGAAAGAATTTTTTCCATTGCTTGATTAATACTCAATGCTAAAAGGACTTCTTTATGTCCCACAAATCTTGATAAAATACTGTTTATTCATAACAATTATCATTTTGCTAAATCTGAATCTGATTTATTATATTTCATACTTTATATTTTGCTTGCATTCCAAATTTATATTTTAATTTGTTATAATAAAAATCAATTGAATATTACTAATATGTTTTGTTTATGTGACTCTGATCTGAGTAAAAATGTAATTCCATAATCTATTTCTGAGAATGAGAAAATACATAAATTTAAATTGAAGTGAGACAGGAAATAATTTAAGAAATGAATTAAAATATGTTAACAATGTGTTAGAAAAGAGCGCTCAAATAAATTATAAAAAAATGTATTTTGATTTATAAATTAAATTCATTAAAAAATACATTGATTTATAAATTAAATTCATTAAAAAAAATTTAAAATAAATATCGCGCCGCCGCCGCCGCCGACAATTTAGTAGACGACGGCGAAATCGGTGCGCCACCGAACGCCGATGAAAAAATAAAAAAATAATAGGTCTAAATAAGGTAATAACACACCCCACGAAAATTTTATTAATGTCATATCGGATGGGGTTAGAAGAATGAACAAAAATAAGAGAGCAAAGAATCTAGAAATAAAAATAACTAACTCTGAATCCCCAACAACCCCTAATGATTCTCATAAGTAGTGATAATACTATAATCGAAATATATTCTGCTATAAAAATTAAAGCAAAAAACCCTAAGTAAACTTGACATTAAATCCTGAATTAAATCGAAGATGGTCCGATTTATCTCCGGCAAGTAACAAATCAAAAAAACACAATAAATAGATGCATAAATATATTTATTGAAGATAAGAACTCCATAAACTCATAGATAATAACCAATAAATCTTATAATCAACTCATAAGAAACAGCTTGTCTTACCGCTCATATGCCCCACCCCAGCATAAATCATATCATATCATGCCCGTTGGTCATAGACCTGTCCAAAGTGAGGGAACGTGATTTATATGGAAGCCCGCCCTCCATATAATTTTACCGATTTTTTTTTCTAGGATACCAACAAACCTTAACTCAGTAGTTTTATCATAAAAAGAGTGGAACTACACCCTACTAGATTATATTATTATATAGTTATGAGTAATATAAGAGATAAGAAGAAGAGGAAAGAAGTCTATTTATTCCAAATACCATATGGTTATTATTTAAATAATTATATTTAATTTTAAGTTATAATAATTTTATTTAATTAATATTTAAATAAACTTAATATACCTTATTATTTTATAACTGACTAAAAATTGTAACTAATAATACCCATGAAGTATCTTAATATCTTTACTTAAAAAATTTTTATTCTCTTAATCAGTTCTCAATTAAAAATAATTTCCTTCAAACAGACATTAATAATATAGAAGCTGAATAACATTTCTTAAGATGCTAGGAGTTGAATAATATTGGAGAGCTTGCTTATTATAACTTAAAATATCATAAATATTGGCCACTTATATATAAATTAAATATTATTTATTAAGTGTTAACAGTTAAAGAATATTGGATGACAAAAACTTATTTTCTTTTAATCAGTTCTCAATTAAATAATAGACATTAATTATATAGAAGTTGAATAATATTTCACAAAATACAAGGGGTTGAATAATATTGAAGAGCTTTAATATAACTTAAAATATCATATTAAATAATGACTAATAATTTATAAATTGAATGTTATTATTAAGTATTAATAATTAAAGAATATTGGAGTACTTAATATTTATAAGGAATAATAATGAATACTAACTATTAACAGTTATTTGTCAGATGTTCATAGGTCTTAGAATTTTTTTATAAGTTTTCCTATCAGCAGACGCTCGCTTAATGAATTCCCAGGAAATCTATCTCTTCTAAAGATCTAGTTATCTTGAAGAACCAACTGTTTTTATATGTTAAGAAGGGTTTGAGGGTTGACTCGTCAGGGGATATTATAAAGAGAGCTTCATATAATAAATTTTTTGGAGCTTGTCTCATGATATGACCTATTAGTTCTATTTTTCTGTATTCTACCATTCTATAAATAATTTTGAGTTAATAAATCTCCCTATGATAAAAAAATATATTCTCATCCTATTAATATAATAACACAAATAAGGTGTAATCATTTATTATAGCGAAAGATCCTTGGACCAGCTTAAATTCGAAAATGACCAAATAAATTTCTAATGATAAAACTGATGCAGTCATTTATAAATGCAATAAAGTATAAGTGTACATAAATATCCCCTAAAAACAACTTGATGGTATCTATGAATGGCTGCACCAGTCTTATCACTAGAACTTTATCTTGTTCTTTTCAAATTTGTGCTGACCCAAGGATCCTTCACTCTAATAAGGTATATAATGATATCCCCACTAATAAAGATCCTTGGGTCAGCACAAATTTAAAAAGAACCAAATCTAAAGACCAAAATAGGTTTACCAAAATCTTAATTTTTAATAAAATCTGTAACAATAGACTCAGAGAAAATATTGAATCAAATATCTGGATTCGCAGAGAATACACAAATTGGTTTGTGGATGCAGCTATATGAAAGAAAAATGTATTTTTATCGATGAAAGTGGTTTTTCAATATCAATTAGACGTTTATATATGGATATTAATAAAAAAGGCTATTAAAAAAATTCAAGATTCGCGGGATAAAAACAATGAATTATACTATTCGCGGGATAAAAACAATGAATTATACTATCATCGCTGCTATAATCGATTGCGGGAATATTCTAATTCAAGGTGATGGCCAACGCTATACATTTTAACGTTGAAGAAAGTAAAATGATAAATATGATTTTTAGGATGGATTATGTTCCATTTCATTATAATCATACAATTAAGATAATTGATAGAAAGGAGAGAGCATGCAATAAAATATTTAACACCATACAGCCCTTATCTTAATCCCAATTAAAATGAGTTTTTTAATGTAAGAATTTTGTCAGAAATCAAATTCTAACAACAAGGAGGAATTAATTCGTCTTATAGAGCATGGAGAGAGAGGAATATATGAGGAGAATGACAAGAATTAATATGGAGACTTATATTCTAAAATGTAGGATTAATATTAATTTTTATGATATATACCTCATGATTGTAATAAAATAATTTGACATGCAAAAAATATTAATTTTAAATTAATTTGATTGCCAAAGAGGAAAATAAATTAAATTAAAAAAATAAAAATATAAGGAGAAAAAATTCAATAAAAATGAAAAAAATTGTTATGTAAAATGAAAAAAAGGAAAAAGAATTGTTAAAAATGACATAAAAATAGAGAAGTGAAGAAAATTAACAGGGAAAATAAAGAAATTATTTTAAAAAAAAATTGATCAAAAACGAGAAGATAAAAATATTGAGGAAAGATGGCTAAGAAAAATAAAGATTAAAATTGGGTTTAAAGAGATTGCAAAATTTTAGAAATAAAATAAGAAAGAAAAATGGAAAAACTAAAAATATTAAAAAAAATTGTCACAAAAAAAATTTATAATTTATTTTTAAAATATTTAAAAAAATAACGATTTTTCTTTTTTACACTGAAATTTTCAATTTTTAATTTTAAATTGACAAAACCATTGAGACTTTTCTCTTTTTGATACTTTTCTATCTTTGATTCTTTTTTGATTGGACCTTTCCCATTTTTGTGACACTTTTCCTTTTTTGATTTGAGAATTTCCTTTTTTGAACGGGAAACCCTATATATGTAAATGTCTTATCATATTATATTGTATATTTAACGAGTAAACCTTTAAATTTTTCAAATTATGATAAAATAATAAAGAGTTTCCCATCCAAAAAGGAAAAGTCCGAATAAAAGGAAAAGTTTCAATCAAAAAAGGAAAGGTCAAAAAATGAAAAATACCAAAATCTTAGGGATAGGTCTGAAAAAAGAAAAGAATCAAAAAAGAGAAAGGTTAAATCAAAAAAGGAAAAATATCAATTAAAAAAGAAAAATTTTAATTAAAAAAAGAAAATAGTTAATTATTTTAAACATTTTTTAAAAAAATTATTTTTTCTTGTCAATTTCTTTAATTTTTAGTTTTTTTTTTCCTTCTCATGTTATTTCTAACTTTCTTCCATCTCTTAAGCCATTTTTAATTATTTTTCTTAATTTTTTCTCCTTCCTTTTTTGATTGACACTTTTTCTTTTTTGATTGGTACTTGTTCTTTTTGAAAAAAATCATAAAGTGTCAAAAAATGTCATGTAGGATGAAAAAAAGGATCAAAAATTGTTAAAAATGGCATATAAATAGAGAAGTGAAGAAAAATTACAGGGAAAATAAATAAATTATCTTTAAAAAGATAAAAAGAATGATCAGAAATGAGAAAAAAATTCCGCATAAAAAGGATAAGGTCTGATCAAAGAAAAGGTGTCAATCAAAAATGGAAAAGTCCAAAAGGCTTAGAAAAAAGTCCGATCAGAAAAGGAAAGTCAAACGAAAAAAGAAAGGTATCCAAAAAGGGCAAAGTTTCAAAAGGGAAATCAAAAAAGGAAAATTCCATTCAAAAAAGGAAAATTGATATTTTTTAAAATATCTAAAAAAAAATTTTTTATATAATCTTGAATTTTTAGTTTGTTTAATTTTTTATTCTTATTCTATTTCTAACTTTTTGCGATCCTTAAATCATTTTTATTCTTTATTTTTCTTAATCTTTTCTTAATCTTTTCTCAATTTTTTTCTTCTCTTATTTTGGATCATTATTTTTTGTCTTTGAAAAATAATTTATATATTTTAATATTTTAAATTAATTTTTATTTCTCATTGGCAGGAATTTTTTTTTATTAGTATATTTTGTATATTAAAAATTCACTGCAATTGCTGAATTAAACTAATTTAAATAAATTTGTATTATAATACCAAAAACGATATATAAATTAGAGGTCTGCATTGGGCGGGGTTTCGGCTTAAAAATTTAAACTATGGGCGGGTGGGTGGGCGAGTTAAGAAATCTAAACATGGACGGGCTGGTTGAAAAAAAATTTAAAATCA